GGGTGAATGCGTGGGTGAGTGAATGAGTGAGTGGGTGAGTGGGTGAGTGAGTGAGTGAATGAGTGAGTGAGTGAATGAGTGAGTGAGTGAATGAGTGAGTGGGTGAGGGTGTCGTGACCTGCGGTGTGGTGATTGGGTGAGTGGGTGAGTGAGTGAATGAGTGGGTGAGTGAGTGAGTGGGTGAGTGAGTGGGTGAGCAAGTGGGTGAGTGAGTGGGTGAGTGAGGGTGTTGTGACCTGCGGTGTGGTGAGTGGGTGAGTGAGTGGGTGAGTGGGTGAGTGAGTGAGTGTGAGGGTGTTGTGACCTGCGGTGTGGTGAGTGGGTGAGCAAGTGGGTGAGTGAGTGGGTGAGTGAGTGGGTGAGTGGGTGATGGTGCTGTGACGTGCGGTGTGGTGGTTGAGACAAATGAGTCTTGCAGTCATCTCTCCGTGTGTGGAGAGGACTCGGTGAGTGAAGTCTACTGGAACAGTTGCCGTGCTCGGAGCGATCGTTGAGCGAGCAGACGGTGGCTGGTCAACCACCTCGCCTGTAGCTTCACGCTACGAATTCTGTCACGTGCAGTGCTGATGCCGACCAAATGCACGATCGTCGTTACATCCCAATGGGGGTGCACACACAAAACAAAACGGTCATTGTCACGGCAGAGGCGTGAGTGGGCTCACAGCGAGGCACACACACACACGACTTGAGCGAGCTGCGATGACGCTGTGAGAAGGGAGATCGGTGGAGTGGTGTTCGTGTCGATGTGTCGCCGTTCTGATGATTCACGCTCTCGCCAAAGGAGTGGAACGAATTACGTGGCACTGTTGCGTTGGCAGTGATTCCCACGTTCCAGACGCCTGTTCCTAAATCAATTTGTAACTTTAAAATGCCCGTCGATTGCAAACACGTTGTACGGCATGTACACTAAACACGGCGAATTACTTTAAAAGTTGTCTAATCTCCTGTAGATGTTGATGCCACTGGTTATTCACGTTCTGCAGATGTAAATCCCACTGGTTCTTCACATTCTGACGATGTAGATGCCACCACGCCATCTATTGGGCAGCGGTTGAACTTATGACTCTCGATCCGAACAGGCAACTTGACGTACGGACCAGGTTCGTATCTCTGAAAGTTCGTAAGTTGAGTCCCTGGATACATATAGCCAACGTTTCTGGCTATGGGCCTTCTTCACAGCACTCCTCTCTATGGTGCCGTGAAGAGCCACTGCCCGAATCGTGGCCGATGATCGCTCGAATGTTAGGCCACACGCGTACTCGGTGTGGCTGCCGCTTTAACCAAGGGAGCGTTTCGCTTCAGCGTGGAAGGAACCCGCGGGTATCCGGAGTAAACCCACTGAACGGACGAGGGGGATATCGCTCTAAAGTCCGCACAGATGGGCTGACGTACTCACTTGCTGTCCTGCCACCTCCTAGCCACCTGTCACAGTTTCGAGGCTTTTACAAATCACTGCATGTCTCACCAACCCTTGGAGTGGGTGATGGGTTACTGGTCTGGCCGAGAGAGTGGGCGACTTCCATGTCTGGACTATAAGGTGGGTGCTAATTTATAGGTCTATACTACACAGTGCTTGATGAGCTCCATGTTTGGACTATAGCATAGGTGATGAGTTTTCGATCTGACTATAGTGGGTGTGAGAGTTTGCGTGACCACTGCCATCCATTTCTCGCGAGTCCCAACGCCTCTTGACGACTTACAAAGGCGAGGCACAGCGGCATTTTAAAGTTACGAGACTCTCCCAGAACGTGATTGCTTAGTGTGTTGGCAACTTGTAAGGCGATGTCGCCGCAGCGTCCACTCACTCCTGCAGCGAGACATCTCACAACGCAAGAGGCGTCAGGAGGAACCCCAAGGTCAAGAATTTCTTTCCCAAAAAAAATCAACAGCAACCAATCAACAACAACACGAGACTCGGGTAAAAGATGAACATTTAATAGTATAACAGTAAGCAGAGATTGCCGTTTAAAAGCTGAAAGTCGCGCCATTGCTCAATCATTGATAAAGAATCATTCACAAACCCGTGATGTGTTTCGGTCAAATTTTCCGCCCAGCTATAATACCAGAATAGGTTTCATTAACAAAATACCCGACCGAAGGAGGCCCTTCGATGGTTTGATATCTGCACAGTGCATGGCTCTGGCGGATACAAAAATCTCTACGGGACAAATTGGGCCCTGCCACGTGAATGTGGAGTGGCGCCGTCCGTGTATGTCAATACGTCTGGTTGTTTTTTTCCCCCTTCTCATCAGGATCAGGATCCCCCCGCCCCCCCCCGTGTTTACAAAAGTAGCCACGAACACTTCCGCCTCTGGTTGTGGTATTTTTTTTTTGTAAAAAGAAAAAAATCGTCCTAGAATCCGAACACAAGGCACAGTTTCGAGCGGGTTCGGGCCGACGTCGAGTCAGAAAGCCTTAGGTCAGAGGGCCTTAGGTCAGAGGGCATTGCGAGAGTTCACGTCAAGAGCGAATGGGCCTTACAAGCCATTACAAAAGTTCAAAAAGCCTTTTAAGACGGCCGGCTTAAAAACCGAGGAGGGCCTTCCAGAGCGTCGTGAGAACGACGGCCGCCTGGGGAGGGACCCTGAACGCAATCGCAAAAAAACCCCCTGACGAAACTAAACACTTCGAAGGCCTCGAGTGACGGATGGCCTTCAGAGAGACGTTGAATAAAGGCGGCCCGGGAAGGACTCGCAACGTCGGGCAGCGTCTCTCAGGCGTCGAGTCAGGAGTTCTGGCAGATCTCAGGACCTCTACGGCCAGAGAGAGGCCTCCTGGGGGGATTCCCCCTCCCCCGCTCCCGCCGCCTGTGGACTGAGAACAGCCCAGAAGTTGGGCAGTGGTCCTGGCAAATGTCCACGCTTTTCAAGCCCGGCGGTTCACGACAGGCACCCGGCACTTTGTAATCACCATCAGCAAAACCGGCCGGCTGGTCAGAGCCAGCCGATGAATAAGCGAGCGTCCACTCGTGGTGGTAAGGTAGCGCGTTGCTGGGTGAGCTGCGGGTTTCGCCACGTCCGAGGAGTTGTAAACCGGCGATGTTAAAAAACACAAACCCTGAACAGCGGGGAAAGTCGCCAAACCAACCTCGGCCCGGGAGGAGGGCAGGATGCGGCCGGCCTGCTCGCTGCGGTGTTGGCCGCAAGTAAACACGACGACGTTGGCAATTTGGGTTTCAACCGTTGGGTGAACGTTGGTAATGTGATTGGGACCAACGTTTGGCCAACGTTGGGACCAAGGTTGGCCCCAGCGGTTCCACGTTTCCCGAGGAGTGTGCGGGGAGTGCCGCCGCGCTTGGGACTCGGGGAGGAGGCGGTCGGCAGGTGTCGCGAAACGCCGCGCAGCGTTCCCTGGGGGTACACGAGAGTAAGGGGGCCTCGCAATCCTAGCGCCAGCGACGAGCAGCTTCCCGATTTAACAAACCAACCCCAACAAGAAATTAGAAAGAGTTCGCCACCCTGCCCACGTCTCACGCGCTGGCCGAGAAGCTCTAAACCCACGAGGTCTGGGTGCTGAGCGACCCCCCCCCCCCGCCGCTCTCGAACACAGGGCCGACAAAATAAATTCGTACGCGAGAAAACTGATTATATTGGAGCTTCAGAAAGATCGTCTTCGTTTATAAAGCAAGAGTAAATTGTGGGTCGTAGCAAAAGAGAGAGACGCTAAGAATTCTACGATGCGCCGACGCGTTTAGAAGATGATGATGATGAAGCGTATAATAACAGAATGTCTTTATTAATTGCGATAAATTCACACTTGGCACGCAAGGTTGGACGTCTGAGACAAATTGTCGGCGGCCGCCCTTGCCCGCTCCAAACACCACAAGGGGGGGGGAGGGACGGGGGGGGGGGGTGCGTTCGTCTGTGTCGGCAGCTCTGACGCAATAGTGGAGATTCCACACTCCTATGGTGGGGGCCAGGATGTTTCCCAGGCGACGACCGCTCGTGACAGACATCCCACGCTGGGCCAGCGTGTGCAGGGTCACGGGACCCTGGCGACAGGGCGCCGAGCCCCCAGTGACGCCTCCCTGGGTAAAAGCGATTATTTGTTTATATTTGTGATACCGCACGCCTCAGCCACTAAGGACTGTAAACATACTGGGCAACCTCCTTGCTGTACTGCACACAGCAGGCACCGGACTGTGACCTATCCCCCACACTTCCATTTCCGTGCGTGCCGTGCACAAGATTGTCCCATCTTTTCGTGATCCACCAACTCCAAACTCCAGGTCACCAGCGGCAACCGGGGCAACCGGGGGCAACCAAGGGGCAACTGGGGGCAACCAGGGGACAACCGGGGGCAACCGGGGGCAACTGGGGGCAACCAAGGGGCAACCAAGGGGCAACCGGGGGCAACTGGGGGCAAGCAGGGGCGCCGATTCCCCGTCTCAGTCCCATAGAGGATGTTTGGTCTCAAAAAGTTACAAAATTCAAAGAAAAAATCCTTCCGTAAACGGGTGACACCTGCTGTTTCACGTCGACCTGTGTGTGTGTCTGTATATGTGTGTGTTTGTGTCTGTATGTGTTTATGTGTCTGTATGTGTTTGTGTCTGTATGTGTTTGTGTGTCTGTATGTGTTCACGTGTCTGTACGTGTGTCTAGTGACACACTACGAACCCTGCCGAGACCCAAGTTCGATTCACACTCACGGCCAACACCACGTGACGATTATTTGAACAGGGCCTGGGCCTCCCCGAGGTCGACTCAGCCTCAAATAAGTACCCGGTGCGGTGTGTAAACATCGCCACTGGGGAGACAAAGGCGGGCGGGCGCAGTGTTGGCCTCCCACCCCCTCGTGTGCAGTGCTGGCTTTCATAGGTGCTCAGTAACAGCACTTGCCCCAACAGTCTGGACGGGCTATACGGGGGATCTTTGTCTCCATGTGTCCACGTGTATATTTGTCTTGTACGTGCGTGCGCCTGTGGGCAAAACACCGCCCCCCCCCCCCCAGCACCCCCCCGCACCAGCCGCTCCCCCCCCCCCCCCACGCGGAGCGTGCGTCTAGAGGTCGCTCTCCCCGTAGAGCGCCGTGGAGAAGGAGGTGTAGTCGAGAGCGCCGGGGACGGCGTCGGGCCCCGCGTAGGGGGCCATGCGCACGATGCAGTACTCGGCCTGGTCCGGGGGCAGCTCCCGGCGCAGCTCCTCCGGCAGGATGTAGCTCTGGGGGGAGAGACGCACGCGGGAGAGAGTCACCGTGGGAAGACGTGGGGGAGAGTCGCCATGGGGAGACGTGGGGAGACGTGGGGAGACGTGGGGAGAGTCACCGTGGGGAGACGTGGGGAGACGTGGGGAGAGTCACCGTGGGGAGACGTGGGGAGAGTCACCGTGGGGAGACGTGGGGAGACGTGGGGAGAGTCACCGTGGGGAGACGTGGGGAGAGTCACCGTGGGAAGACGTGGGGGAGAGTCGCCATGGGGAGACGTGGGGAGACGTGGGGAGACGTGGGGAGACGTGGGGGAGACGTGGGGGAGACGTGGGGGAGAGTCACCGTGAGGAGACGTGGGGAGACGTGGGGAGACGTGGGGGAGACGTGGGGGAGAGTCACCGTGAGGAGACGTGGGGAGACGTGGGGAGACGTGGGGGAGACGTGGGGGAGACGTGGGGGAGACGTGGGGGAGACGTGGGGGAGACGTGGGGGAGAGTCACCGTGAGGAGACGTGGGGGAGAGTCGCTGTGGGGGAGACGTGGCGAGACGTGGGGAGACGTGGGGGAGACGTGGGGAGACGTGGGGAGAGTCACCATGAGGAGACGTGGGGGAGAGTCGCTGTGGGGGAGACGTGGCGAGACGTGGGGAGACGTGGGGAGACGTGGGGAGACGTGGGGAGAGTCACCGTGGGAAGACGTGGGGAGACGTGGGGAGACGTGGAGAGACGTGGGGAGACGTGGGAGAGTCACCGTGGGGAGACGTGGGGAGACGTGGGGGAGACGTGGGGAGACGTGGGGAGACGTGGGGAGACGTGGGGAGAGTCACCGTGGGAAGACGTGGGGAGACGTGGGGAGACGTGGAGAGACGTGGGGAGACGTGGAGAGACGTGGGAAGACGTGGGGAGACGTGGGGAGACGTGGAGAGACGTGGGGAGACGTGGGAGAGTCACCGTGGGGAGACGTGGGGAGACGTGGGGGAGACGTGGGGAGACGTGGGGAGACGTGGGGAGACGTGGGGAGAGTCACCGTGGGAAGACGTGGGGAGACGTGGGGAGACGTGGGGAGACGTGGGGAGACGTGGGGGAGACGTGGGGAGAGTCACCGTGGGGAGACGTGGGGTGACGTGGGGGAGAGTCACCGTGGGGAGAGATATGGGGAGAGTCACGGGGAGACACAGGGAGGCGCCGGGCGGGCGTGCGGACCTTGTCCCCGGCGAGGATCTTGAAGGAGGCGATGACCTGGTCAGCCGTGTCGGTGTCGGCCGTCTCGCGCGACATGAAGTCGATGAAGGACTGGAAGGTCACGACCCCCGTGCTGTTGGGGTCGACCACGGCCATGATGCGGCCAAACTCGGCCTCGCCCTGAGACGCACGCGGTGGGGGGGGGGGGGGGGGGACACGGGTGAGGGGACACGGCGGAGACGCACACGGGGACACGTGGACATGGACAAGGAGACACACGGAGACACCGAGATGTGGGTACACGGGTATACGCGGACACGCAGACACGAGAAAACTCGGCGTGCGGGGACACGTGGGGAGACGCCGAGATGCGCGTACAGACGCACGGACACGCGTGGGCACCGAGACAACACGGACAAAAGACGCACGTGGACACGCAGAGATATACACAGACGAGCACGTGGGCATGGAGACGTGTGGACACGCACAAAGACGTGGAGCGTGAAGACGCAGAGACATGCACACGCGGACACAGCGAGACAGAGACATACAGACACAGACATGTATGGACGGACACAGTCACGAGGACAAGGAAAAACGTAGCCATGCGGACACGGAGATACATGGACACAGAAACACTCACGCACAGACACGGACACACACAGACACAGAAACACGCAGAGACAACTGGATGACTGACAGAGCCAATCACTGAAGAGGTGAAAGAGAATGACAGTCAGTCGAGTCTCTGATGGGGTCACTGATGGCGACTCTAGACAATATACAGTCAGTCGAGTCTCTGATGGGACCTCTGATGGGATCTCTGATGGGTCTCTAGACAATATACAGTAAGGGAAAAAAGTATTTGATCCCCTGCTGATTTTGTACGTATGCCCACTGTCAAAAATGTTATAAATTGATTTGCATTTGAATGAGGGAAATAAGTATTTGACCCCCTCTCAATCAGAAAGATTTCTGGCTCCCAGGTGTCTTTTATACAGGTAATGAGCTGAGATTAGGAGCACACTCTTAAAGGGAGTGCTCCTAATCTCAGCTTGTTACCTGTATAAAAGACACCTGTCCACAGAAGCAATCAATCAATCAGAGTCCAAACTCTCCACCACGGCCAAGACCAAAGAGCTCTCCAAGGATGTCAGAGACAAGATTGTAGACCTACACAAGGCTGGAATGGGCTACAAGACCATTGCCAAGCAGCTTGGTGAGAAGGTGACAACAAGTTGGTGCGATTATTCGCAAATGGAAGAAACACAAAAGAACTGTCAATCTCCCTTGGCCTGGAGCTCCATGCAAGATCTCACCTCGTGGAGTTGCAATGATTATGAGAACGGTGAGGAATCAGCCCAGAACTACACGGGAGGATCTTGTCAATGATCTCAAGGCAGCTGGGACCATAGTCACCAAGAAAACAATTGGTAACACACTACGCCGTGAAGGACTGAAATCCTGCATCGCCCGCAAGGTTCCCCTGCTCAAGAAAGCACATATACATGCCCGTATGAAGTTTGCCAATGAACATCTGAATGATTCAGAGGACAACTGGGTGAAAGCGTTGTGGTCAGATGAGACCAAAATGGAGCTCTTTGGCATCAACTCAACTCGCCGTGTTTGGAGGAGGAGGAATGCTGCCTATGACCCCAAGAACACCATCCCCACCGTCAAACATGGAGGTGGAAACATTATGCTTTGGGGGTGTTTTTCTGCTAAGGGGACAGGACAACTTCACCGCATCAAAGAGACGATGGACGGGGCCATGTACCGTCAAATCTTGGGTGAGAACCTCCTTCCCTCAGCCAGGACATTGAAAATGGGTCGTGGATGGGTATTCCAGCATGACAATGACCCAAAACACACGGTCAAGGCAACAAAGGAGTGGCTCAAGAAAAAGCACATTAAGGTCCTGGAGTGGCCTAGCCAGTCCCATAGAAAATCTATGGGACTGGCTGTGGAGGGAGCTGAAGATTCGAGTTGCCAAACGTCAGTCTCGAAACCTTAATGACTTGGAGAAGATCTGCAAAGAGGAGTGGAACAAAATCCCTCCTGAGATGTGTGCAAACCTGGTGGCCAACTACAAGAAACGTCTGACCTCTGTGATTACCAACAAGGGGTTTGCCACCAAGTACTAAGTCATGTTTTGCAGAGGGGTCAAATACTTATTTCCCTCATTAAAATGCAAATCAATTTATAACATTTTTGATGCGTTTTTCTGGATTTTGTTGTTGTTATTCTGTCTCTCACTGTTCAAATAAACCTACCATTAAAATTATAGACTGATCATTTCTTTGTCAGTGGGCAAACGTACAAAATCAGCAGGGGATCAAATACTTTTTTTCCCTCACTGTACAGTCAGTCGAGTCTCTGATGGGGTCTCTGATGGGGTCTCTGATGGGGTTTCTGATGGGGTCTCTGATGGGGTCTCTGATGGGGTCTCTGATGGGGTCTCTGATGGGGTCTCTGATGGGGTCTCTGATGGGACCTCTGATGGGGTCTCTGATGGGGTCTCTGATGGGGTCTCTGATGGGGTCTCTGATGGGGTCTCTGATGGGGTCTCTGATGGGGTCTCTGATGGGGTCTCTGATGGGACCTCTGATGGGGTCTCTGATGGGGTCTCTGATGGGGTCTCTGATGGGGTCTCTGATGGGGTCTCTGATGGGGTCTCTGATGGAGTCTCTGATGGGGTCTCTGATGGGGTCTCTGATGGGATCTCTGATGGGGTCTCTGATGGGGTCTCTGATGGGGTCTCTGATGGGGTCTCTGATGGGGTCTCTGATGGGGTCTCTGATGGGACCTCTGATGGGACCTCTGATGGGGTCTCTGATGGGGTCTCTGATGGGGTCTCTGATGGGGTCTCTGATGGGACCTCTGATGGGGTCTCTGATGGGGTCTCTGATGGGGTCTCTGATGGGGACTCTGATGGGGACTCTGATGGGGTCTCTGATGGGACCTCTGATGGGGTCTCTGATGGGGACTCTGATGGGACCTCTGTCGACGTGGGATGTAGATTCGTACCAGCACGTAACCCATGGAGATGAGGCAAGCCCTGAAATCATCTGGCTCCATCATGCCACTCTTTCTCTGTTCGGCGTGAGGGTTGGGGAAGGGTGGGTGGGGTCGGGGGGGGGGCACGCGATGCGAGGGGAGGGGCGTCGGGGGGGGGGGTTGCCGTGCGAGGTTTTGATTGGGGGAGACGGAAACGGCGGCGAGGGGTCGAGGAGTGGTGGAGGTGGCGGTGAGCAGCGTCGGCCAGGTGAGGTGCCTCGCGCATGCAGGCAACGTACGCACGCACGTACGTGAGCGTGAACATGCACACACAACCACATGCAAACACACGTGAACGCGCGCACGTACACGTGCATAAACAAACGTGTAAACACGCACGCGCACGCATGCGCGTGTCAGCAAGGTGATGCGATGTAGAAGGAAGCAGTTGTGGAGGTTGAGGGGGCCAGAGTTCGTGGGGGGGGGGGGGTGGGGATTTGAGAGATGTGGGTTCAATCTCACGACCTCAGCCGGTGAGGGGTGAGTGGCGAGGGGTGAGGGACGGACAGAAGAGAGAAGGCAACAGAAAGGAGGTCGGGGGTCGGTGAGTGGTGTTAGGGTCAGAGGTCATTAGAGCGATTGGGCAGAAAGGTTACGAAGCAGCATTTCCACACACACACACAGACGTACACAGACGTACACACACACAGACGTACACATACATGCACACACACATGCACACACACACACAGACGCACACAAAGACGCACACACATGCACGCACAGATACACACACAGACGCACACACATGCACGCGCAGATGCACACACAGACGCACACACATGCACACACAGATGCACACACATGTACACACAGACGCACACACATGCACGCGCAGATGCACACACAGACGCACACACACAGACGCACACACATGCACGCACAGACTCGCACACATGCACGCACAGATGCACGCACAGACGCACACACAGACGCACAGACATGCACACACAGATGCACGCACAGATGCACGCACATTCACACACAGATGCACGCACATGCACACACATGCACGCACACACAGTTATTCACACGCACACACGGTGAGTCACGCACAGAGACACGGAGTGAGTCACACACGGAGTGAGTCACACACGGAGTGAGTCACACACGGAGTGAGTCACACACGGAGTGAGTCACGCACACACACGGAGTGAGTCACGCACGGAGTGAGTCACGCACACACACGGAGAGGCATTATCAGGCCACAGGTCCCATCGACGCCACGGCGCTAGAGTTTGGTTCAGTTGCAGCACACGTGTCACATGTGTCATGCATGTGACGCACGTGCCACACGTTGCAGCGGGCCAGGCACGTGTGACCGAGCGGGGTCAAGCCTCACGCACGGTGGTGCGGTGGGGGGGGGACAGGGAGCGACGGGAAGAGTTTGCAGACGCACGCACGGCGGGCGGGGAGGGGATGCAGACGCACGGCGTGCACGCAGAGAGCCGTGGGGGTGGCCGGTGTGGGGGCCGGGGGGTCCGTGGGGGGGTTGCGAGCCGCTCGTCACGGTCGGCGCAGCAGCGACAGCGTGGCGGGGGGAGGTGAGCTTGGTGCGGAGCGTGGGCGGGTGGCGGGGGTGTGGGAGCGGTGGGGAACGCACGGAGGGGACGGGGCGCAGGGAGGCGCGTGCGAGGTGCAGGAGGTGCAGGAGGTGCAGGAGGTGCGGAGGTGCAGGAGATGCGGAGATGCGCGGGCAGACGTGGGGGGGAGTGGGGAGGTGGGATGATGGGGAGAGAGACACGCGGAGAGACGCGAATACGAGAAGCGGGGAGGGTAGAGGGGCAGGGACACGCACCGGCACAAGAAGAACAGGGGGGGAGGGGGGAGGAGACACAAAACACACGGACGAGACGCGTTTAGCGGGCGGCACGGTGACGACGGCGGCGGTGACGACGGCGGAGGCCCGAGCGGGGCCCGAGCGGGGCCCGAGCGGGGCCCGAGCGTCTCCCCGACGGTACCTGTGCATCGTTAGCGATACTGAAGCCCAGGGAGATGAGACACGCGCGGAAATCCTCCGGTCTCAGGTTCCCCGAGCGGTCCTGGGGTGGTTGGCCAACCCGCGGCGGTGGTGGTGATGGTGGTGATTGTGGTGGTGGTAGTGATTGTGGTGGTGGTGATTGCAGTGATTGTGGTGGTGGTAGTGATTGTGGTGATTGTGGTGGTGGTAGTGATTGTGGTGGTGGTGGTGGTGATTGCAGTGATTGTGGTGGTGGTAGTGATTGTGGTGATTGTGGTGGTGGTAGTGATTGTGTTGATTGTGGTGGTGGTAGTGATGGTGGTGGTAGTGGTGGTGGTAGTGTTAGCGATGGTGGTTGTGACGGTGGTAGTGTTAGCGATGGTGGTAGTGTTAGCGATGGTGGTTGTGACAGTGGTAGTGTTAGCGATGGTGGTTGTGACGGTGGTAGTGTTAGCGATGGTGGTTGTGACGGTGGTAGTGTTAGCGATGGTGGTTGTGACGGTGGTAGTGTTAGCGATGGTGGTTGTGACGGTGGTAGTGTTAGCGATGGTGGTTGTGACGGTGGTAGTGTTAGCAATGGTGGTTGTGACGGTGGTAGTGTTAGCGATGGTGGTTGTGACAGTGGTAGTGTTAGCGATGGTGGTTGTGACGGTGGTAGTGTTAGCGATGGTGGTTGTGACAGTGGTAGTGTTAGCGATGGTGGTTGTGACGGTGGTAGTGTTAGCGATGGTGGTTGTGACGGTGGTAGTGTTAGCGATGGTGGTTGTGACAGTGGTAGTGTTAGCGATGGTGGTTGTGACAGTGGTAATGTTAGCGATGGTGGTTGTGACAGTGGTAGTGTTAGCGATGGTGGTTGTGACGGTGGTAGTGTTAGCGATGGTGGTTGTGACAGTGGTAGTGTTAGCGATGGTGGTTGTGACGGTGGTAGTGTTAGCGATGGTGGTTGTGACGGTGGTAGTGTTAGCGATGGTGGTTGTGACGGTGGTAGTGTTAGCGATGGTGGTTGTGACGGTGGTAGTGTTAGCGATGGTGGTTGTGACGGTGGTAGTGTTAGCAATGGTGGTTGTGACGGTGGTAGTGTTAGCGATGGTGGTTGTGACGGTGGTAGTGTTAGCGATGGTGGTTGTGACGGTGGTAGTGTTAGCGATGGTGGTTGTGACGGTGGTAGTGTTAGCGATGGTGGTTGTGACAGTGGTAGTGTTAGCGATGGTGGTTGTGACGGTGGTAGTGTTAGCGATGGTGGTTGTGACGGTGGTAGTGTTAGCGATGGTGGTTGTGACGGTGGTAGTGTTAGCGATGGTGGTTGTGACGGTGGTAGTGTTAGCGATGGTGGTTGTGACGGTGGTAGTGTTAGCGATGGTGGTTGTGACGGTGGTAGTGTTAGCGATGGTGGTTGTGACGGTGGTAGTGTTAGCGATGGTGGTTGTGACAGTGGTAGTGTTAGCGATGGTGGTTGTGACGGTGGTAGTGTTAGCGATGGTGGTTGTGACGGTGGTAGTGTTAGCGATGGTGGTTGTGACGGTGGTAATGTTAGCGATGGTGGTTGTGACGGTGGTAATGTTAGCGATGGTGGTTGTGACGGTGGTAATGTTAGCGATGGTGGTTGTGACGGTGGTAATGTTAGCGATGGTGGTTGTGACGGTGGTAATGTTAGCGATGGTGGTTGTGACGGTGGTAGTGTTAGCGATGGTGGTTGTGACGGTGGTAGTGTTAGCGATGGTGGTTGTGACGGTGGTAGTGTTAGCGATGGTGGTTGTGACGGTGGTAGTGTTAGCGATGGTGGTTGTGACGGTGGTAGTGTTAGCGATGGTGGTTGTGACGGTGGTAGTGTTAGCGATGGTGGTTGTGACGGTGGTAGTGTTAGCGATGGTGGTTGTGACGGTGGTAGTGTTAGCGATGGTGGTTGTGACGGTGGTAGTGTTAGCGATGGTGGTTGTGACGGTGGTAGTGTTAGCGATGGTGGTTGTGACGGTGGTAGTGTTAGCGATGGTGGTTGTGACGGTGGTAGTGTTAGCGATGGTGGTTGTGACGGTGGTAATGGTATAATATAAATAGATCAAGGCGAGGCAGGTTTATGTCGTTAGGAGAACACGCTTGTTAAGAGGCGGTTGAATGTGGTTTAAGGGGTATTACAGGTAAGTGTGGTGACGATGATTGTTGATGGTGGTGGTGGTGTAAAAGTCGCAGTGATGTTGGTGATGGTGGTGGTGATGGTGTATTCAGTGGCCGTGACGGTGAAATTCGTTGTGATGTTGATGACGGTGGTGACGGTGGTGATAGCAGTGTATTTAGTCGTGATGGAGTGTATCATGGTCGTAGTGGTGGCGGTGTTGGGGGCGTAGTTGGTGGTGATGGTGGTCATGGGAGTATTGTTGGTGGTGTTGGTAGTGATGATGGTGGTGATGGCGATATAAGTGGTGGTGGTAACGATGGTGACGGTGGCGGTGGTGGCTTTTGAGGCAGGAGTGATGGCATGAGAGGAGTTAGTGAGGTTAGTGGTGGCGGTGGTGGTATTGGTGGTGGTATTGGTGGTGGTGGTTGATAGTTGAGGGGAGGGGAGATGCCATGCACACATGCACCAGAGGGAGAACAGCTCATGGTTATCAGAGCTCATGCAAGTTGTTGTTGTTTATTATTCCGCTTGTTTACCGAGAAAAGCCTCACCGACTCCTGTTGAGGACGGACCTGTGCTCACTGTTCACAGTTGGGGATCGGGGGTGATGCTGCTGCTGTTTGCATCTCAACTGAGTGATTTAAACTCAAACCTATGATTTAAGGCCCCCCCCCCCCCCCCACTGCACTACGTAGTGGCTTATCACCGTGTGGAAATTTTCGCAGCCAAATGATCGAAATGAACGATGTTGATTCTAAATGTGGAGGGAAAAATCGGAGGACCCAAAGAAAAATCCACACGACTACGGGGAGAGAGAGAGACACGCAAACTCCAAATTTACAGAGATCGGGGTCGGGATCAAACCCACGACCTCCTGTACACCAGGCGAGGGAGATAACATCTCCTAGCCACCGGGGATGGAGCAGGCGGTTATAACAGGCTCGTTAGGGAGTGCTCGTTAGGAGAGTGCTCATTAACAGCGTGCTCGTTAGGAGACAGAAAATCCGTACGGAACGGTGGACTCCTCCCGACGCCTCCCCGCACCCCCACGGAAACTGACGCTGCGTTCCCATTGGTCGGTTTGGCAGGGCGACAATTGCGACGCAACAACGCACGCCGATAGCGACCAACGTTCGGGGGGGGGGGGGGGGTTCAGAGGTTAGCATTTGGGGTCAGATCGTCACGGTTACGTCATCATCGCGATGCGAAGGCAATCGCTCATCTCTCTGCAGTTTGCCCACCGGGGTGGAGAGACATTCAAACAGAGAGCGGACTTGGCCCCACCACAGGAATGTGGAATTTCAACCACTGGCTGCTCATGGTGACCTGGTCAAAACAGCCACAGGTCACGTGACCTCACCTGGTCAAAATGGTCCCAGGTCGTGGTGACCTCTCAGCCCCAGGTCATGGTGACCTCTTAGACCCGGGTCACAGTGACTTCTCAGATCTGGGTCACAGTGACCTCTCAGACCCGGGTCGCGGTGACCTCTCAGGCCTGGGTCACGGTGACCTCTCAGCCCCGGATCACGGTGACCTCTTATCCCCTGGTCGGTGTGACCTCTGAGCCCCGGGTGACGGTGACCTCACCCGGTCAAAGTGGTTGAACGACGCTCGGAAGTCGTGGAGCTGCTCCTTGCTGATGCCCTTGGCGTCACGCGTCAGGATTTGGTTCTCCACCTCGTTGATGGTCCTCGTGATCGTCGTCAGCAGCTGCTCCCAGCCCACGCGGATGTGCTGCGCCACGACACGCACACACAGAGAAGAAGAACCCCGCGTAGCCTTAACGGACTGTCGGGGCGAGCGCTGTTCGCGAGTGGCACCTACGAAGGCCGGCACGGCACAAGAGGGGGGCGGGGTGGCCAGCACCGCGCCCGGCCGCCTTTGTCTCCCCGGTGGGGATTTTTACTGCGCACCGCACCGGGTACGCGGTTGAGGCTGAGTCGACCTAGTGGAGGCCCAGGAAAAGTTCAGATAATCGTCATTGGTGCTGGCCACGAGCGGGAACCGAACTCGGGTCGTGGGTTCATAGTGCAGCCCGCTACCCGCTACACTACCGCTCTCCACAACTGCCGTGACACACACCTACACACACGTACACACGCAGGGTAACACGTGCTGTGGTGTGCTCACCCCCACGGTGCAGTTGGTGCGGTGAGAGTGGTGAGCGAGCGAGCGAGTGAGCCGAGCTCACATTCGCGGTGTAGTTGACACGGTGAGCGTGGCAAGCTGTTCCTGCCACGGTGGTGAGATGTTGACTACCTCGCCTGGTATGCAGGAGTTTGTGGGTTCGACCCCGATTTTTTTCCCTTCCACATGTACAGTGAGGGAAAAAAGTATTTGATCCCCTGCTTATTTTGTACGTTTGCCCACTGACAAAGAAATGATCAGTCTATAATTTTAATGGTAGGTTTACTTGAACAGTGAGAGACAGAATAACAACAAGAAAAACGCATGTCAAAAATGGTATAAATTGATTTGCATTTTAATGAGGGAAATAAGTATTTGACCCCCTCTCAATCAGAAAGATTTCTGGCTCCCAGGTGTCTTTTATACAGATAACGAGCTGAGATAAAGGAGCACACTCTTAAAGGGAGTGCTCCTAATCTCAGCTTGTTACCTGTATAAAAGACACCTGTCCACAGAAGCAATCAATCAATCAGAGTCCAAACTCTCCACCACGGCCAAGACCAAAGAGCTCTCCAAGGATGTCAGGGACAAGATTGTAGACCTACACAAGGCTGGAATGGGCTACAAGACCATTGCCAAGCAGCTTGGTGAGAAGGTGACAACAGTTGGTGCGATTATTCGCAAATGAAAGAAACACAAAACTGTCAATCTCCCTCGGCCTGGAGCTCCATGCAAGATCTCACCTCGTGAAGTTGCAATGATCATGAGAACGGTGAGGAATCAGCCCAGAACTACACGGGAGGATCTTGTCAATGATCTCAAGGCAGCTGGGACCATAGTCACCAAGAAAACCATTGGTAACACACTACGCCGTGAAGGACTGAAATCCTGCAGCACCCGCAAGGTCCCCCTGCTCAAGAAAGCACATATACATGCCCGTATGAAGTTTGCCAATGAACATCTGAATGATTCAGAGGACAACTGGGTGAAAGTGTTGTGGTCAGATGAGACCAAAATGGAGCTCCTTGGTATCAACTCAACTCGCCGTGTTTGGAGGAGGAGGAATGCTGCCTATGACCCCAAGAACACCATCCCCACCGTCAAACATGGAGGTGGAAACATGCTTTGTGGGTGTTTTCTGCTCAGGGGACAGGACAACTTCACCGCTTCAAAGGGACGATGGACGGGGCCATGTACCGTCAAATCTTGGGTGAGAACCTCCTTCCCTCAGCCAGGACATTGAAAATGGGTCGTGGATGGGTATTCCAGCATGACAATGACCCAGAACACACGGCCAAGGCAACAAAGGAGTGACTCAAGAAGAAGCACATTAAGGTCCTGGAGTGGCCTAGCCAGTCTCCAGACCTTACTCCCATTGAAAATCTGTGGAGGGAACTGAAGGTTCGAGTTGCCAAACGTCAGCCTCGAAACCTTAATGACTTGGAGAAGATCTGCAAAGAGGAGTGGGACAAAATCCCTCCTGAGATGTGTGCAAACCTGATGGCCAACTACAAGAAACGTCTGACCTCTGTGATTGCCAACAAGGGTTTTGCCACCAAGTACTAAGTCATGTTTTGCAGAGGGGGTCAAATACTTATTTCCCTCATTAAAATGCAAATAAATTTATAACATGTTTGACATGCGCTTTTCTGGATTTTGTTGTTATTCTGTCTCTCACTGTTCAAATAAACCTACCATTAAAATTATAGACTGATAATTTCTTAGTCAGTGGGCAAACGTACAAAATCAGCAGGGGATCAAATACTTTTTTCCCTCGCTGCATAACCAACATCACGGGTTTCGAGTGTTTGGCCGCTGTAAATATCCGCACGACGACGATAAGCCGCTCCGGTGAGCTATCAATTTGTGATGGGCAGGTCGCTTCCGAATCAAGAGCTGTACAGCACAGTCGGCTTTCCCTGCTCAAACAAAAATGAGAGTTTAGTAAATGGCGGAGTACCTCCATGGTGTAGTTGGTGTGCTTGTTGTCGAAGACGAGCGCCTCCTGGATGAGCTGGTGCTCGCTCTCCAGCTTGTCGATGTTGGGCTTGTAGTTGATGATGTTCTGCTCGTACTGGCGCAGCTGCACCAGCTGGTCCTCCAGCGTGCCGTGCAGCTCCATGGAGATTCGCCCAATCTCCTGGCGGCGGCACGGAGAGCCGAGGGGGTGGGGGGAGGTTCACGGTGGCCGTGGCCGAGACGCCGAGCCGGCGTAACCGAGGTCAAGGGTTTGGATATGGGGGCACGGTGAGGACACGGGGACACGGGGGGACACGGAGACACAGAGACACAGAGACACGGGGGACATAGAGACACGGGGACACGGGGACACAAAGATACGGGAACACAGACACAGTGAGACACGGGGACACAGAGACATGGGAACACAGACACAAAGAGACACGGGGACACAGACACATGGGGACACAGAGACACGGAGACACGGGGACACAGAGACATGGGAACACAGACACAGAAAGACACGGGGACACAGACACACAGAGACACGGGGACACAGAAACACGGGGACACAAAGATACGGGAACACAGACACAGTGAGACACGGGGACACAGTGAGACACGGGGACACAGAGACATGGGAACACAGACACAAAGAGACACGGGGACACAGACACACGGGGACACAGAGACACCGAGACACGGGGACACAGAGAGACACGGGGACACAGAGACATGGGAACACAGACACACAGAGACACGGGGACACAGAGACACGGGAACACAGAGACACAGAGACACGGAGACACGGGGACACAGAGACATGGGGACACACAGAGACACGGAGACACAGAGAGACACGGGGACACAGAGACATGGGGACACACAGAGACACGGAGACACAGAGAGACACGGGGACACAGACACACCGAGACACGGGACACAGAGACATGGGGACACAGAGACACGGGGACACAGAGATACGGGGACATAGAAACACGGGGACATAGAGACACAGAGACAAGGGGACACGGGACACAGAGACATGGGGACGGAGAGAACATGGAGACACGGGGACACAGAGACACAGACACACAGAGACACGGGGACACAGAGACATGGGGACGGAGAGAACAAGGAGACACGGGGACACAGAGACACAGACACACAGAGACACGGGGACACAGAGACATGGGGACGGAGAGGACATGGAGACACGGGCCGCACCTCCATCTTCTTGTGGATGAGCGGGCCGGTCTGGTTGGCCGAGTTGGCGAACTGCACGCGGAGACGTTCGTTGCTCTGCTGCCGAGAGAGCTCCTCGTGCAGGAGGCGGTCTCTCTGTGGCACCAGGGCCTTCAGCTACAACACAAACAACAAAGATCCCCCGTGGAGCCTTAACAGACTGTCGGGGCAAGTGCCGTTAGGCCGTGTCGGGCCTACAACGGCCGGTGCGGCACACGAGGGGTCAGGTGGCCAGCACCACGCTCGACCACCTTTGTCTCCCCAGTGGCCATGTTTACACACCGTGCCGGGTACTCATTTGAAGCCGAGTCGACCTAGAGGAGGCCCAGGACCGGTTCAGATAATCGTCACCGGTGTTGGCCATGAGCGGGAATCGATCTCGGGTCGCCAGGTTCATAGCGCAGCGAAGCGCTAACCCCTACACTACCGCTACCCATACAGAGACAAGCAGGCACAGAGACACACCTGCGCGCAGAGACATGCATGCACAGAGACACGCACAGACACACAAAGACACGCACGCACAGAGACACACGTACGCACAGAGACACGCACAGACACATAAAGACACGCACGCACAGAGACATGTATGCACAGAGACACGCACAGACACACAAAGACACACGTACGCACAGAAACACGCACAGACACATAAAAGACACGCACGCACAGAGACACACGTGCGCACAGAGACACGTACGCACAGAGACACGCACAGACACACAAAGCACGCATGCACAGAGACACACGTACGCACAGAGACACGCACGCACAGAGTCACGCACAGACACACAGAGACACATGTACGCACAGAGACACGCACAGACACACAAAGACACGCACAGAGACACACGCACGCACAGAGACACGCACAGACACACAGAGACACACGCACGCACAGAGACACGCACAGACACACAGAGACACACGTACGCACAGAGACACGTACGTACAGAGACACGCACAGACACACAAAGACACACGCACGCACAGAGACACGCACAGATACACAAAGACACACGCACGCACAGAGACACGCACAGACACACAGAGACACACGCACGCACAGAGACACGCACAGACACACAAAGACACACGCACGCACAGAGACACGCACAGACACACCGAGACACACGTACGCACAGAGACACGCACAGACACACAGAGACACACGCACGCACAGAGACACGCACAGACACACAGAGACACACGCACGCACAGAGACACGCACAGACACACAGAGACACACAGAGACACACGCACGCACAGAGACACGCACAGACACACAGAGACACACGCACGCACAGAGACACGCACAGACACACAAAGACACACGTACGCACAGAGACACGCACAGACACACAAAGACACGCACGCACAGAGACACGCACAGACACACAAAGACACGCACGCACAGAGACACGCACAGACACACAAAGACACGCACGCACAGAGACACACGTACGCACAGAGACACACACAGACACATAAAGACACGCACGCACAGAGACATGCATGCACAGAGACACGCACAGACACACAAAGACACACGTACGCACAGAGACACGCACAGACACATAAAAGACACGCACGCACAGAGACACACGTGCGCACAGAGACACACGTACGCACAGAGACACGCACGCACAGAGACACGCACAGACACACAAAGACACGCACAGAGACACACGCACGCACAGAGACACGCACAGACACACAGAGACACACACACGCACAGAGACACGCACAGACACACAGAGACACACGTACGCACAGAGACACGTACGTACAGAGACACGCACAGACACACAAAGACACACACACGCACAGAGACACGCACAGACACACAAAGACACACGCACGCACAGAGACACGCACAGACACACAAAGACACACGCACGCACAGAGACACGCACAGACACACAGAGACACATGCACGCACAGAGACACGCACAGACACACAAAGACACACGCACGCACAGAGACACGCACAGACACACAGAGACACACGTACGCACAGAGACACGCACAGACACACAGAGACACACGCACGCACAGAGACACGCACAGACACACAGAGACACACGCACGCACAGAGACACGCACAGACACACAGAGACACACGCACGCACAGAGACACGCACAGACACACAGAGACACACGCACGCACAGAGACACACACAGACACACAAAGACACACACAGAGACACGCACAGACACACAAAGACACACGTACGCACAGAGACACGCACAGACACACAAAGACACGCACGCACAGAGACACGCACAGACACACAGAGACACACGCACGCACAGAGACACACACAGACACACAGAGACACGCACAGACACACAGAGACACACGCACAGACACACAGAGACACGCACAGACACACAAAGACACACCTACGCACAGAGACACGTACGCACAGAGACACGCACAGACACACAGACACACAGAGACACGCACAGACACACAGCGACACACGCACGCACCCGCTCCCACTTGGCGGTGACGTCCGCGGTGGTGATGGCCGTGTACGGGTTGGACCCCCCCGCGGGCTGCTCCACGTGGTAGGTGCCAGCGATCTTCTCACGCTCGGCGTGCACGCCCACGATGGCCAGCTTCTCCTTCTCCGCCTCGGGCAGCGTCGCCTTGAACTGCTCGTGCGCCGTGATGAGGCCCTGGACCGAGCGCCGCCACCGCCGACCGGCAGGCCATCGTGAGCACCGGCAGGGCGGACGCACGACCGGTCGCGCGTCCTCTGGTCTAACGCCGTTTTGAGACGAGGCTCAAAAGAAAGCTGTCTCTGGTGTGGACCAATCAGTTTCAAGGACAATGCATCATATTATCAGAGTATTTTTTTTGTTTGCATTCTGACCACAAACATTGTGGTGAATGCTGTAACATGATTTATTGTAAAAGGTTTCAGTTTGTTGTTTTAACATTTTCACACCTATTTTGTTGCCGGAAAAAGGGAGAAACACCTATTATATTTTGGTACTGGCAAAGGAGATCCCATGATGGGTTCCCGAATGTATTGCGTTGTATCCAATTCGCGTTATGAAAACTGGCGGCGTTATAGGAGAACAGAGACTGGATAGCTCAGTGGGGGCCTCACGTGGTGGAATAAAAAATATTTTATAGTGAAGGTGCTAGAGGGCACGTGTCCCCCCTGCTCGCGACTCGTGGGGACACGTGTCTGTATCTCGTCGGTGGTGAGCGGGGAGGACACGTGGGGACACGTGCCTGTATCTCGTCGGTGGTGAGCGGGGGGACACGTGTCTGTATCTCGTCGATGGTGAGCGGGGGGGACACGTGGGGACACGTGTCTGTATCTCGTCGATGGTGAGCGGGGGGGACACGTGGGGACACGTGTCTGTATCTCGTCAGTAGTGAGCGGGGAGAACACGTGGGGACACGTGTCTGTATCTCGTCGGTGGTGAGCGGGGACACATGTGGGGACACGTGTCTGTATTTCGTCGGTAGTGAGCGGGGGGGACACGTGGGGACACGTGTCCCCCCCGCTCGCGACTCGTGGGGACACGTGGGGACACGTGCCTGTATCTCGTCGATGGTGAGCGGAGGGACACGTGAGGACACGTGTCCCCCCCGCTCGCGACTCGTGGGGACACGTGGGGACACGTGCCTGTATCTCGTCGATGGTGTGCACGATGAACATGTCCTGCAAGTCCTCCATGGCGCCCTCCATCCAGTTGTTGAAGGGGGCAGCGCGCTTGGCAAACTCCAGGTGCAGCTGGTCAATGGTCTCCAGCAGCTTCTCACGCTTCTACGCATCGCAATCGCAATCAGAATTGGGTTGATTTAGACTGGGAATCGGAATGAGAATTGGGTTGATTTAGACTGGGAATCGGAATCAGAATCGGGTTTATTTAGAATGGGAATCGGAATCAGAATCGGGTTTATGTAGAATGGGAATTGGATTCAGGATGTTTATTTAGACTGGGGATCGGAATCAGGATCAGGATGTTTATCTAGACTGGGAATCGGAATCAGGATGTTTTAGTCGTGGAGCTGAGTTTTTTGTCACTAGGATGTCCGTCCAAGTATAGGAAAGCTGAGCAGCACCAGGTACTCAATTGATGGCTGAGTCGACCTAGGGCAGGCCCAGGACCGGTTCAGATAATCGTCACTGGTGTTGGCCGTGAGCAGGAATCAAACTCAGGTCGCCAAATTCATAGCGCAGCGCGCTAACCGCTACACTACTGTTCCTCACACACGTGCACACACACAGACACACGTGTACACACACACACACGTGTACACACGTGTACACACACACGTGTACACACACAGACACACGTGTACACACACACAGACGTGTACACACACGTGTACACACACGTGTACGTACACACACACGTGTACACACAGACACACGTGTACACAGACACACGTGTACACAGACACACGTGTACACAGACACACGTGTACACAGACGTGTACACACACAGACAGACGTGTACACACACAGACACACGTGTACACCACACACAGACACACGTGTACACACACAGACACACGTGTACACACAGACACACGTGTACACACACGTGTACACACACACACACGTGTACACACACAGACACACGTGTACACACACACGTGTACACAGACACACGTGTCCACACACACACAGACACACGTGTACACACACAGACACACGTGTGTGTACACACACGTGTACACACACAGACACACGTGTACACACACACGTGTACACACACACGTGTACACACACACACACGTGTACACACACACACACGTGTACACACACAGACACACGTGTACACACACAGACACACGTGTACACACAGACACACACACACAGACACACACAGACACACGTGTACACACACACACACGTGTATGTGACGTGTACACATACACGTGTACACACACACACGTGTACACACACAGACACACACACACACGTGTACACACACACACTTGTACACAGACACACGTGTACACACACAGACACACGTGTACACAGACACACGTGTACACACACAGACACACGTGTACACACACAGACACACACACACACGTGTACACACACACGTGTACACACACACACTTGTACACAGACACACGTGTACACACACACACACGTGTACACACACACACGTGTACACAGACACACGTGTACACACACACACACACGTGTACACACACACACACGTGTACACACACAGACACACGTGTACACACACACACGTGTACACACACACACGTGTACACACACACACGTGTACACACACACACGTGTACACACACACACACACGTGTACACACACACACACACGTGTACACACACACACACGTGTACACACACACACACACGTGTACACACACACACACACGTGTACACACACACACACGTGTACACACACACACACACGTGTACACACACAGACACACGTGTACACAGACACACGTGTACACACACACACGTGTACACACACACGTGTACACACACACACACACGTGTACACACACAGACACACGTGTACACGGGCTGCACCTCCAGGGCTTCTCTGCGCGTCTGCGTGAGCGCGCCGAGCCGGTCCCACTGCTCGCAGATCGCCTGGCAGCGCCCGTTCACACTCTCCACGTCGTGGTAGTCCAACTCGCTGCGGGCAGCACACGGCACGGGCGGGGTGGGGTGGGGTGGGGTGGTTGGGTGGTGTGGGTGGGGTGGGTGGGGTGGGTGGGGTGAGATTGGAGTGGGGGTTGGTGGGGTGGGGGTGAGATTGGGGTGGGGTTGGTGGGGTGAGTTGTGGGGTGTGGCGGGGTGGGGCGGGGCGGGGCGGGTTCGGGTGGGGTGGGCGGGGTAGGGTGGGGTTGGTGGGGTGGGAGGGGGTGAGATTGTGGAAGGGGCGCGGTGGGGCGGGGTGGGGTGGGGTTGGTGGGGTGGGTGGGGGTGAGATTGGGGTGGGGGTGCGGTGGGGCGGGGTGGGTGGGGGTGAGATTGGGGTGGGGCGGGGCGGGGTGGGTGGGGGTGAGATTGGGGTGGGGCGGGGCGGGGCGGGGTGGGTGGGGGTGAGATTGGGGTGGGGCGGGGTGGGGTGGGTGGGGGTGAGATTGGGGTGGGGCGGAGTGGGTGGGGGTGAGACAGGATTGCAAGGTGTCAGTGCAGTGGTGGCACTCGTGCCTCACAGCAAGCAGCGGCTGGGTTCGATTCCTGGCTCAAGTGTCTTTCTGTGGGGAATTTGTAAGTTCTGCTGATGTTCCGTACAGGTTTGCCATAACTAAGAGCACGTACAATATCATTGGTCTTGGCCAAATATCCCAATACTGAAAAATTACCGATAAATTACTCAATTGGAAATACACGTATAGCAACATCGTGCCCTGCTGGGCAAAGTAGGCAGGACTCTCTGGGGAGAGAGTCTCGGGACTGAGCGAGGCTTGCTGGGTAAACAAACGTAACAACAACACGGTCACAATTAGGAGTCGTACTTGAGCTCCTGTGCGATGGCGGCGATCTGCTCCACGCGGTCCTGGTGGGCGGCCAGGTCGCTCTCAAAGGCCTCGTGCTTGCGGAGCAGCGCCTTGAGCTCGGTCAGCGAGGCGACGCCCGGCACCACGTCCTCCTGAAGGCTCTCCTCCTTGCCTGGCGCACGCACACACGCACGCACGCACACACGCACAACAATGACAAAGATCTAATCTAATTCATATTTACGGAGAGCGCATTCACTCAAGACGCTTGATATGGTTTGCAAAGTGGCGACGGGATAGAATGACTTTGATGGCATGGGCATCGCAAGGATTGAGGAATGAGTGGCCGCTATAGAGGGGTACACGTGGGGATCACCGATGGGGTAGGGGAGGGACGGGAAGGAGTGGAAGGGCGAGGGGAGGGAGGAAGAGAATGGGTGATGGAGAATAGGTGGTGAGGCTTTAAGAGAGGAATTAAAGGAGGTTAAGGAGGGGGACTGCTTCATGTACAGGGGCAGTGTTGAGTCTATGGGCAGTGTTGAGTCTATGGGCAGTGTTGAGTCTATGGGCAGTGTTGAGTCTATGGGCAGTGTTGAGTCTATGGGCAGTGTTGAGTCTATGGGCAGTGTTGAGTCTATGGGCAGTGTTGAGTCTACGGGCAGTGCTGAGTCTATGGGCAGTGTTGAGTCTATGGGCAGTGTTGAGTCTATGGGCAGTGTTGAGTCTATGGGCAGTGTTGAGTCTACGGGCGGTGTTGAGTCTACGGGCAGTGCTGAGTCTGTGGGCAGTGCTGAGTCTATGGGCAGTGCTGAGTCTATGGGCAGTGCTGAGTCTGTGGGCAGTGCTGAGTCTGTGGGCAGTGCTGAGTCTGTGGGCAGTGCTGAGTCTGTGGGCAGTGCTGAGTCTATCGGCAGTGTTGAGTCTATGGGCAGTGTTGAGTCTTTGGGCAGTACTGAGTCTATGGGCAGTGCTGAGTCTGTGGGCAGTGTTGAGTCTATGGGCAGTGTTGAGTCTATGGTGCAGTGTTGAGTCTATGGTGCAGTGCTGAGTCTATGGGCAGTGTTGAGTCTATGGGCAGTGCTGAGTCTATGGGCAGTGTTGAGTCTTTGGGCAGTGCTGAGTCTATGGGCAGTGCTGAGTCTATGGTGCAGTGCTGAGTCTATGGTGCAGTGCTGAGTCTATGGGCAGTGCTGAGTCTATGGGCAGTGTTGAGTCTTTGGGCAGTGCTGAGTCTATGGGCAGTGCTGAGTCTATGGTGCAGTGCTGAGTCTATGGGCAGTGCTGAGTCTATGGGCAGTGCTGAGTCTGTGGGCAGTGCTGAGTCTATGGGCAGTGCTGAGTCTGTGGGCAGTGCTGAGTCTATGGGCAGTGCTGAGTCTGTGGACAGCGTTGAGTCTATGGTGCAGTGCTGAGTCTATGGGCAGTGCTGAGTCTGTGGGCAGTGCTGAGTCTATGGGCAGTGTTGAGTCTATGGGCAGTGTTGAGTCTATGGTGCAGTGCTGAGTCTATGGTGCATTGCTGAGTCTATGGGCAGTGCTGAGTCTATGGGCAGTGCTGAGTCTATGGGCAGTGCTGAGTCTGTGGGCAGTGTTGAGTCTATGGGTAGTGTTGAGTCTGTGGGCAGTGTTGAGTCTGTGGTGCAGTGTTGAGTCTATGGGTAGTGTTGAGTCTATGGTGCAGTGCTGAGTCTATGGGCAGTGCTGAGTCTGTGGGCAGTGTTGAGTCTATGGGTAGTGTTGAGTCTGTGGGCAGTGTTGAGTCTATGGTGCAGTGCTGAGTCTATGGTGCAGTGCTGAGTCTATGGGTAGTGTTGAGTCTGTGGGCAGTGCTGAGTCTATGGGCAGTGCTGAGTCTATGGTGCAGTGCTGAGTCTATGGTGCAGTGCTGAGTCTATGGTGCAGTGCTGAGTCTATGGGTAGTGTTGAGTCTGTGGGCAGTGCTGAGTCTATGGGTAGTGTTGAGTCTGTGGGCAGTGCTGAGTCTATGGTGCAGTGCTGAGTCTGTGGGCAGTGTTGAGTCTATGGGCAGTGCTGGGTCTATGGGTAGTGTTGAGTCTGTGGGCAGTGCTGAGTCTATGGTGCAGTGTTGAGTCTATGGGCAGTGCTGAGTCTATGGTGCAGTGCTGAGTCTGTGGGCAGTGTTGAGTCTATGGTGCAGTGTTGAGTCTATGGTGCAGTGCTGAGTCTATGGTGCAGTGCTGAGTCTATGGTGCAGTGTTGAGTCTGTGAGCAGTGTTGAGTCTATAGGCAGTGCTGAGTCTATGGGCAGTGCTGAGTCTATGGTGCAGTGCTGAGTCTGTGGGCAGTGCTGAGTCTATGGGCAGTGCTGAGTCTATGGGCAGTGTTGAGTCTATGGGCAGTGCTGAGTCTATGGTGCAGTGCTGAGTCTGTGGGCAGTGTTGAGTCTATGGTGCAGTGTTGAGTCTATGGTGCAGTGCTGAGTCTATGGTGCAGTGTTGAGTCTGTGGGCAGTGTTGAGTCTATAGGCAGTGCTGAGTCTATGGTGCAGTGCTGAGTCTGTGGGCAGTGCTGAGTCTATGGGCAGTGCTGAGTCTATGGGCAGTGCTGAGTCTATGGGCAGTGCTGAGTCTATGGGCAGTGCTGAGTCTATGGTGCAGTGCTGAGTCTATGGTGCAGTGCTGAGTCTATGGGCAGTGCTGAGTCTATGGTGCAGTGCTGAGTCTATGGTGCAGTGCTGAGTCTATGGTGCAGTGCTGAGTCTATGGTGCAGTGTTGAGTCTGTGGTTAGTGCTGAGTCTATAGGCAGTGCTGAGTCCATGGTGCAGTGCTGAGTCTATGGTGCAGTGCTGAGTCTGTAGGCAGTGCTGAGTCTATGGGCAGTCTTGAGTCTATGGTGCAGTGCTGAGTCTATGGTGCAGTGTTGAGTCTATGGTGCAGTGCTGAGTCTATGGTGCAGTGCTGAGTCTATGGTGCAGTGATGAGTCTATGGTGCAGTGCTGAGTCTATGGTGCAGTGTTGAGTCTATGGTGCAGTGCTGAGTCTATGGTGCAGTGTTGAGTCTATGTGCAGTGCTGAATCTATGGTGCAGTGCTGAGTCTGTGGGCAGTGCTGAGACGAGAGAGAGAGAGAGAGAGACCTGAGCCCCACGTCTCGTGGATGTCACACTTCTGTCGGAACTTCTCGGCAAGGTGGTCGAGCCGCTCGAGGCGACGGATCTCGTTGAGGAGCCACTCCTCGTAGCCCTTCTCGGCCTGCTCCAGGCGCGACCACGCGTTGGCGATGTCCTGCACGGAGACGCAGCAGATCGTCGCTCGCTCTCCCACTAGCCGTGGCTGGCTACGTACGGGGCAAAAGAAGTTCGGCGTCCGTACGTCGAACCCCCCTCCGTGTAGATTCTGCTTCACGGACGCTCGTGGCAAGCCCGAGTTAGACAAAGATCCCCCGTGTCGCCTTCACGGCACACGAGGGGGGGTGGGTGTCCGCCTTTGCCTCCTCACTGGCGGTGTTTGCGCACGGCACCAGGCGCTCGTTTGCGGCTCAGTCGACCTAGAGGAGGCCCGGCGACCACTTTAGATAATCATCACCGGTGGTGGCCGTGAGCAGGAATCGCCACGTAGGAGTGCCACGGTGGCTAGGAGATGTTAACTCCCTCGCAAGGTACACAGGAGGTCGTGGGTTCGATCCCGACCCTGACGACGCCTGCTGCTGCTGTACACGTGGAGTCTGCGTCTCTCTCTCTCCCCGTGGTCACGTGGTTATTCTCAGGGCCCTCCGGTTTTTACCTCCACATTTAGAATCAACATCACGCGTTTACAGTATTTCGCTGCTATACATTTACACACGATGATGATGAGAACGATGACGATGATGAGAATGATGACGATAATGATGAGAGTGATGACGATGATGATGATGAGAGCGATGATGATGATGATGATAATGAGAGTGATGACGATGATGAGAGCGATGATGATGATGAGAGCGATGATGATGATGAGAGCGATGATGATGATGAGAGCGATGACGATGATGAGAGCGATGACGATGATGAGAGTGATGACGATGATGATGATGAGAGCGATGATGATGATGAGAGTGATGACGATGATGATGATGAGAGCGATGACGATGATGAGAGTGATGACGATGATGAGAGCGATGATGATGATGAGAGCGATGATGATGATGAGAGTGATGACGATGATGATGATGATGAGAGCGATGATGATGATGAGAGCGATGACGACGACGATGAGCTATCATTTGTGATAGCCACAGATTTCTGCTTTTGAAGCATTACTACATAGCTCAGTGGGCCTCACCTCTGGTCAAATAACAATATTCAAATTAGTCACGGGTCGCCATTTTTGTAGGGCAGCGCGTTAACCACCACACTCCCGTGCGTGTGTCCGTACGCGTGTATCCATACGCGTGTGTCCGTACGCGTGTGTGCGTACGCGTGTGTGCGTACGCGTGTGTGCGCGTGTGTCCGTACACGTGTGCGTGTGTGCGTGCGCCCTCACCGACACCATCTTGCCCTCGGAGGGTATGAACGCGGGACGGTTCATGAGGCGGAGCTTGGTCTGCAGCGTGTTGAAGCTGATCTCCAGGTGGCACTTCTCCTCGGAGCGCGGGGGCTTCCTCGCTCGCCGGTAGTCGCGAAAGTCCTCCAGCCTCGCCTGCATCACCTGCATCGTGTTCTGCAGCGAGCGGTCCTCCAGGCCCGGGATCGTCGCCTCGATCCACTCCAGCAGCTGCGCCGTGCACAGAGACATCGTCGTCATCGTCGTCGTTGTTGTCTTCATCGTCATCATCACCGTCGTCGTCATCCTCATCATCGTCATCACCGTCGTCGTCATCATCGTCATCGTCAACCTCGTCGTCGTCATCCTCATCATCCTCGTCATCATCGTCGTCATCCGTGATCATCGTCGCCGCGATCGTCACCGATAAAGTTACTCCGTTGGGATTCCGTGCAGCGGCAGCAGCGGCAGCGGAGGCGGCGGTGGCGGTGATGGTGGTGGTGGCGGTGGTGGTGGTGGCGGTGGTGGTGGTGGCGGTGGTGGTGGAGGCGGTGGTGGTGGCTGTCGTAGCAATCATCGAGCAAGCAGGGCCCATTCGCAGGCCGGTGTCGAGTCACACACAGGGGCAGCTGCCGCTAGGGGGAGCCCTTCCGATGCTTGAGAACGTTTATGATTGTTGTGCTTACCCCGTTTGCACGGCAGGGGGCAATGATATCCCACCAGACACTTTTCTAACCGATTCATTCGCGGTGGAGGCGTTTCAAATTCGCGCCTAGACGCCGGCACACGCGGCAGGGCCCCAACCCTCCCTCGAACGACGCCGCGGGGTCCAGCCGTGTTAGCCGTGGCGCCGCGTCGCCACGGCTAACACGGCGCTGACTGGGGCGGCCGCTGTGATTCCAGCCGCGAACCTCTGCCACAAAGCGACGGACGCTCTCTCTCACGCCGCGCCGTTGAGATTTCATGCAAAGCGCTCCGGCCTTCAGCAAGCGGCCACCGTCAATTTAGAGTTCATCCGTGATTATTTTAAATCGCAGGATCGTAGCCACGATCTCATCGAGCAGTTTGTGTGGAGGATGACGGACGGAACTGCTATTGTTATCGTCACCGTCGTCAACATCATCATCACCGTCGTCAACATCATCGTCGTCATTATCGCCGTCCTTATCGGTGACGAGCGGCGAGCAGGTAGAGTGAAGTAACCGCTACACTCCCGCTCCCCACACAGACACGCAGAGACAGACACGCAGAGACAGACACAGAGAGACAGACACACAGAGACAGACACACAGAGACAGACACACAGAGACAAACACACAGAGATAGTCACACAGAGACAGACACACAGAGACAGACACACAGAGACAGACACACAGAGACACTCAAACAGAGACAGACACACAGAGACAGACACACAGAGACAGACACACAGAGACAGACACACAGAGACAGACACACAGAGCCACACAGAGACAGACACACAGAGACAGACACACAGAGCCACACAGAGACAGACACACAGAGACAGACACACAGAGACAGACACACAGAGTCAGACACACAGAGACAGACACACAGAGACAGACACACAGAGACAGACACACAGAGACACACAGAGACAGACACACAGAGACACACAGAGACACACAGAGACAGACACACAGAGACACACAGAGACAGACACACAGAGTCACACACAGAGACAGACACACAGAGACACACAGAGACAGACACACACAGAGACACACAGAGACAGACACACAGAGACACACAGAGACAGACACACAGAGACAGACACACTGAGACACAGAGACAGACACACAGAGACAGACACACAGAGACACAGAGACAGACACACAGAGACAGACACACAGAGACAGACACACAGAGACACACAGAGACACACAGAGACACACAGAGACAGACACACAGAGACAGTCACACAGAGACAGACACACAGAGACAGACACACAGAGACACACAGAGACAGACACACAGAGACAGACACACAGAGACACACAGAGACAGACACACAGGTGTACTCACATCACTGGCGAGCTTCTCGTAGTCCTCCATGAGGTTCTCATTCTCCTGGTTCACCGCCAGCACCTTGCAGATCCGGTTGGCCGCCGTCTCCGCCTGCAACATGACACGTCTCAGCCAATGGGAAGGGTGCATGGGGGGGCAGCTAGGCCCTAGCTTAGCCGAGGCCAAGCCAGTGTAGGACTCACTTCATAAGAAACCTCGTGCCATGCTGACAATCGCATGCCATTCGATACCAGCTGCGATGCGGAGTGTATACTTTCCAATTATCGAGTGGCAATTTGTCACGGTATAATGGCGGGGAAGGGCTGAAAATGTTCGCAACCTCTGAAGCGCGACACAACTAGGACGTACCATGGGATTAATAATGTTTAGTCAACAGTCTGCTCTCCTCTAACGCTGCGTGTTTCCGCGACGCGGATTGAATATATAATGCGATGAATGTACTCGGGAACACAATTGTTTTACAACGTGGATGCGAATTGGACATAACGCGATCAAGCGAACGGAACAACGTCGCGAGAGTAGGAATCAGCGGTCGGCTGCCTCGGCGTAGGATCGCACGAGCCAGTGGGATGCTGCTGGATGCTTCTAGATGCTACCCACGCTCCTCGGTCTTTGTTCGGCCTGCGTACGCATCTCACGTGTTATCACGGACTGTGCTTTACCTCCTATATTATATATTACGTGATTATGACGTGATTCTTCCATAATGCGGTGTTCTTCAGGAAAGCAACCACTACCGCGTTGTAGGAGGACAGACTGCGCCGAGTGGTGCGTTGTGATTATTTACACAAGCGACTAAAATTGGGACTGTTCCCGTCTCGGGAACACTTGGGGCGATATCTACATCTGTGGCAAAGAGCTTTATAGCTCATCGGATTCCTCCAGTACATATAAATATCACGACTCTGATACTCCCCAGGACAGCAGCAGCAGGTGGCTGCCTCAACAAGGGGACGGCGATCCTGGGCAGGCGGCGGCGCTCGGAAGGCCCCGGCAGATGAACGATGTCTGGAGGTTTCTCCACAATAGCTCTGCCTCTCTGTCTCCCTCTCTCTCTACCCCACTACTAGGGGGGAGCAGCTCCATTGTACTTTGCTGGTCAATTATCCAACATCCGTGTCACGCATTACCATGACTACCATCAACAATTATCATCACTGTCATCAGAACTGCCCCTATGTCCAAGTTGTGACAAGTCGTGTGTCTAAGGTCAAGTTGTGTCAAGCCGTGTGTCTAAGGTCAAGTTGTGACAATCCGTGTGTCTAAGGTCAAGTTGTGTCAAGCCGTGTGTCTAAGGTCAAGTGGTGACAAGCCGTGTGTCTAAGGTCAAGTTGTGACAATCCGTGTGTCTAAGGTCAAGTTGTGTCAAGCCGTGTGTCTAAGGTCAAGTGGTGACAAGCCGTGTGTCTAAGGTCAAGTGGTGGCAAGCCGTGTGTCTAAGGTCAAGTTGTGACAAGCCGTGTGTCTAAGGTCAAGTTGTGACAATCCGTGTGTCTAAGGTCAAGTTGTGTCTAAGGTCAAGTGGTGACAAGCCGTGTGTCTAAGGTCAAGTTGTGACAAGCCGTGTGTCTAAGGTCAAGTTGTGACAAGCCGTGTGTCTAAGGTCAAGTTGTGTCAAGCCGTGTGTCTAAGGTCAAGTTGTGACAATCCGTGTGTCTAAGGTCAAGTTGTGTCTAAGGTCAAGTTGTGTCAAGCCGTGTGTCTAAGGTCAAGTTGTGTCAAGCCGTGTGTCTAAGGTCAAGTTGTGTCTAAGGTCAAGTTGTGACAAGCCGTGTGTCTAAGGTCAAGCTGTGACAAGTCGTGTGTCTAAGGTCAAGTTGTGTCAAGCCGTGTGTCTAAGGTCAAGTTGTGACAATCCGTGTGTCTAAGGTCAAGTTGTGTCTAAGGTCAAGTTGTGTCAAGCCGTGTGTCTAAGGTCAAGTTGTGACAAGTCGTGTGTCTCAGGTCAAGTGGTCACAAGCCGTGTGTCTAAGGTCAAGTTGTGACAAGCCGTGTGTCTAACGTCAAGTTGTGTCTCAGGTCAAGTTGTGACAAGCCGTGTGTCTAAGGTCAAGTTGTGACAAGTCGTGTGTCTAAGGTCAAGTTGTGACAAGCCGTGTGTCTAAGGTCAAGTTGTGTCTAAGGTCAAGTTGTGACAAGCCGTGTGTCTAAGGTCAAGTTGTGTCTAAGGTCAAGTTGTGACAAGTCGTGTGTCTAAGGTCAAGTTGTGACAAGCCGTGTGTCTAAGGTCAAGTTGTGACAAGTTGTGTGTCTAAAGTCAAGTTGTGGCAAGTCGTGTGTCTAAGGTCAAGTTGTGACAAGTCGTGTGTCTAAGGTCAAGTTGTGACAAGTCGTGTGTCTAAGGTCAAGTTGTGTCTAAGACCAAGTTGTGTCTCAGGCCAAGTTGTGTCTAAGACCAAGTTGTGTCTAAGACCAAGTTGTGTCTCAGGCCAAGCTAAATATATTCGTCGCGTCTCTCCTGGCTCCTCAGCCGTCTCTGCAGATTTTTTTTGGTGCCAAAAAACTTTTACTCGTCACTGTCGTCATCATTACTATCGTCATCATCACTGTCATCATCATCATCATCGCTCTCATCGTCATCATCGCTCTCATCATCATCATCGCTCTCATCATCATCATCGCTCTCATCATCGTCATCATCATCGCTCTCATCATAATCGCTCTCATCGTCGTCATCACTCTCATCATCATCATCATCGCTATCACCACCACAGCCCAGAGTCTGGAGCCTCGTTGAGGTAGCGAGAAGCCCCCCCTCCCAGCCCCCCCTCACCCCCCCCCCGCTCCCAGCCCCCCCCCTCACCCCCCCTCCCTCCCTACACCCCCCCTCCCATCCCCCCCCTCACCCCCGCTCGGATGTTGCTGCGGCGTTGCCACGGCGACGGTTACCTTCTGTGCCCCCGAGAAGGCGTGGTAGTAGCACGAGACGTAGGTCATGATGGCCTTCTCGTCCGGCTTTACCGTGCCCACTATGTCTGCTCCCCCAACGCCGCCGCCGCCGTCACGGAACACGGGGGGCGGCAGAAGACACGAGGAGGTGTGGGGGGGGGGTGAGGAGGTGGGGGGGGGGTGAGGAGGTGGGGGGGGTGCAAGGACGTGGCGTGCAGGGGGGGGGGGGGCGAAGGGAGGAGGGGCGGTCACACATGTCAGCCGCATTCACGCAGTTTCTACGACGCTCAGGCGACCGTCGGAAGTTTCTTGCACAAGAGAGGGGGGGGGCGGGGGGAGGAGGGGTCATCGTCGTGCGAGTTAGGGGTGGGGGCCGGGCGGTGGTGCCGGAGAGTTCTCTCGGTGGTCCGGCCGACCGAGCGCTGTTAAGAGAGAGGGGGGGGGGGGGGGGGGGGGGGGGGGCCACGTCGCCGTACGCAGGGAGGCGTGCGAGTTGTGGCGAGCGCCGTGCGACTGTCCCTCGGTCGGCGTGGGGTTCGCCCATCGGTCGCCCCGTCCGCTCAAGCGACCGTCGCACGGCACGACTCGTTGGTTGCGCGCAGTGGAAATAAGAAACGAGGGGTCACGACGAGGCCGCCATGAACCGGCCGGGCGGGCCTCTGGGGCCCCCCGTGTACCTTGAGGGCGCCCGAGAAGGCGTGGTAGAAGCAGGAGACGTAGGTCATGATGGCCTTCTCGTCCGGACGGGCCGTGTTTACGATGTCTACGCTCGGCGGAAGCAACAGCGCCGCGTCAGCGAGCAGCCCGTCGAGCCGGGGCGAACAACGCTCGGCAACGCCCATCCTGCAGGCCGCGGGATCGACGCTCGGGCAAAGGCGCAGCTCCTGCAAGCGCCCGCTCGCGCCGCCGCGGCCGGCGGAACGGCCTCCGCTCCAGAGAGCACTTTGAGAGAGAATGGTTGGCCTGCTCTTCCCCACTGGCCAGGCCGTCTTTCAGAGAGGCGAGAGTACCCACACTTTTCCCCACCGGGCGCCGCTAACCCGACGATTGACCGCGGTTGTATCCATTTAAACCGCCGATCCTTGCCTATTAAAACCCTTCCCCATCCCGATGACGTGAGCGTACGTCATCAGAACGAGATTGGAAGAAAAACTAAAATAAATAAATGCCATCGCTCCCGAGGCCATGCGGGAGGGCGTGGGGCACAGTTTGGCACCAGCCATCACAGAGTACGGTGGTCGTGTCGCTACGGTTCTCTGCAGTGAGTAACGACGTCTTTAAAAACCGCGTCGCTACGACGCCTCTTTAAATACAATTAACGCTGAACGCGCTCGCGCGTTCCGAGATTCGGCGGTGAACGGGACACCACCACCCTGCAACTTGCAGATGTCTCGGAACGGGGAAGGGTTCACATCTGGGCAGTGCACCAGCATCGGTTTGAGTAAAGCCTCATGGGAGGCGCACGTGAAATATCACTCAACTTCCTTGTTTGTTTCGCTACAAGGGAAGAGACTTTTTTTTTAATGATTGTTGCGTTTCGTGTCTCAGCTCCGAGCGGTCTCCCATCATCACCGCCACCCCCCCCTCCCTTCTCTCTCACGGCGACGATGATGACGGTGGGCGAGCGATCGAGCGAGAATCGTGCCGAGCTCAGCGCTCGAGCGACACGGACGAGGGAGCCGTCCCTCCGTGCAGCCCCCTCGCCACTGATGTTAGCCGTGAGAGGGGAGTCGAACTCAGGTGGGCGGGCCAACACCACGCCCGGTGGTGATGATGTTTTTTAACACTCCGCACGAGTTACTCATTTAAGGCTGAGTCGACCTAAGGGAGGCCCAGGAACGATTCGGATATTCGTCACTGTGTATGACCGGCCGTGAGAGGGCATCGAACTCGGGACGCCGGGTTCGTAGCGCAGCGCGCTAACCATTGCGCCACCGCTCTCCATAAATACAAAGACCCCCCAGCCTTTACAGACTTTAGGGGCCAGCGCTGTTAACGGGTACCTATGAAGGCCGGCACGGCACACACACACGCACACACGCACACACACACACGCACACACACACACACACACGCACACACACGCGTACACACGCACACGCGTACACAATTGTATCCATAAGTGCATACAAACGCACGCGCCCTTGTCAATCCACTGCTAGATGATTGATCCACTGCTAGATGATTGATCATGATTCGCGCACAGGCAGGGGATGGAGTAGTGCGGCGGTGAGCGCTCTGCAAACTCGGCGACCCAAGTTTGATTCCCCGTCACGGTGAACATCGGCGGCGAGAGCGTCCTGGTGGTCTTGTCAGACCTCGGTAAGCTAAGCAGGCGTTGTGCCTGGAGAGCACTTTGGATGGGCGACCGCCAGCTTGCCATTTAGGTCTCTCCCCGTTCACCAAACCCGCACTGGCCCAGCGTGGTGAAGCATGGCCATGCCTCTGAGATCCATGCCTCTGAGATCCATGCCTCTGAGATCCATGCCTCTGAGATCCATGCCTCTGAGATCCATGCCTCTGAGATCCATGCCTCTGAGATCCATGCCTCTGAGATCCATGCCTCTGAGATCCATGCCTCTGAGATCCATGCCTCTGAGATCCATGCCTCTGAGATCCATGCCTCTGAGATCCATGCCTCTGAGATCCATGCCTCTGAGATCCATGCCTCTGAGATCCATGCCTCTGAGATCCATGCCTCTGAGATCCATGCCTCTGAGATCCATGCCTCTGAGATCCATGCCTCTGAGATCCATGCCTCTGAGATCCATGCCTCTGAGATCCATGCCTCTGAGATCCATGCCTCTGAGATCCATGCCTCTGAGATCCATGCCTCTGAGATCCATGCCTCTGAGATCCATGCCTCTGAGATCCATGCCTCTGAGATCCATGCCTCTGAGATCCATGCCTCTGAGATCCATGCCTCTGAGATCCATGCCTCTGAGATCCATGCCTCTGAGATCCATGCCTCTGAGATCCATGCCTCTGAGATCCATGCCTCTGAGATCCATGCCTCTGAGATCCATGCCTCTGAGATCCATGCCTCTGAGATCCATGCCTCTGAGATCCATGCCTCTGAGATCCATGCCTCTGAGATCCATGCCTCTGAGATCCATGCCTCTGAGATCCATGCCTCTGAGATCCATGCCTCTGAGAGGCCCTCATCCAGCAGTGGATTGATAAACAGGGCTGTAATAATAATAATTATTATTAGCGACTGATAATTGGGTCGAGCCACGTGAAGACTCGAGACCAGATCTGTGTCGTTGAGACCCTCCACCACCCGGCCTAGCAGGGTTCTTGACGACGCAGAAGCGGACGGATTGCTTCGTGGGCCGACCCGAAATTCGATTGAGAATCGTAATAACATTGCCTGCGAAAGCCTACGCATTAGGCCGGGATTATTAACATTACTATTATTATTATTTTACGTTTAAGTGACGTGCGCGTATTAACGTGGGCGTTATGGAGCGAACGGCTGCAGACACAATAGAACGGAATCGCGATTCTCCGCCGATGCACCGGGCGGGTTGAGACCCTGCACGCCTGGGGGAAGGGAAAGAATTGTCACGAGTCATCAACACGGAGTCGTCCAAACAACGTCGAGCGGCAAGCCTCCTCCTGCGAAGGAGCCTAGAGACTCGGCGACGCCTCCCTGTGTAAACAAACCACGACGTTGTTGTTAGCGTTATTGTTGTTATTGTTGTTATCTTCGTTGTTATTATTGTTAGCTTTGTTATCGTTGTTGTTATTGTTGTTATATTTGTTGTTATTATTGTTAGCTTTGTTATCGTTGTTGTTATTGTTGTCATCTTTGTTGCTATTATTGTTAGCTTTGTTATCGTTGTTGTTATCGTAGTTATTGTTGTTGATATTGTTGTTATCGTTGTTATTGTTTATATTGTTATCGTTGTTCTTATTGTTGTTATTGTTGTTACTGTTGTTATTGTTGTTGTTGTTGTCATTGTTGTTGCTGTAATTGTCAGATAGCAGAAGCAGGCACGAGCGTGTGAAGGCTGCGGCGGTGGACAGGGCACCGAGCAGAGAGAGAAGACATCAGATCCCAACTCCTCCTCGTCCCTCCCCTCTTCCTCGTCCGTGCTGCCGGGAGAACGGTCACGCGAGCGCCGAGCGGCGAGTGAGCGCCAAGCGGGGAGCAGCGAGCGTCGAGCGAGCGGGGAGCGAGCGGGGAGCGGGGAGCGAGCGGGGAGCGAGTGGGGAGCGAGCGGGGAGCGCCGAACGGGGAGCGAGCGCTAAGCGAGCGGGGAGCGGGGAGCGAGTGGGGAGCGAGCGGGGAGCGCCGAACGGGGAGCGAGCGCTAAGCGAGCGGGGAGCGGGGAGCGGGGAGCGGGGAGCACCGAGCGGGGAGCGGCACAACGGACGCCGCGCTCGGGAGGCGGACGCCCGGCTCCCGTCGGCGCCGCACCCGGCTCTTGGTCAGACGGCCACAGGTGAGACGAGAGGTGACGAGGGTTTGACACGGGCGAGACAGGTGACGGAGGTGAGACAAGTACAGGTGTGACAGGTGAGACAGGTGAGAGGTGTGAGACAGGTGTGACAGGTGAGACAGGCGAGAGGTGTGAGACACAGGTGAGACAGGTGATTGGTGTGAGACAGGTGAGACACAGGTGTGCAGGTGAGGAAGGTGAGAGGTGAGAGACATAGGTGAGACAGGTGAGAGACAGGTGTGAGACAGGTGAGAGACAGGTGAGACACAGGTGTGAGACATAGGTGAGACAGGTGAGACACAGGTGAGACACAGGTGAGAGACAGGCGAGAGGTGTGAGACAGGTGTGAGACAGGTGAGAGACAGGTGTGAGACAGGTCAGACAGGTGTGAGACAGGTGAGAGACAGGTGAGACACAGGTGAGAGACAGGTGAGAGAGGTGTGAGACAGGTGTGAGACACAGGTGTGAGACAAGTGAGAAAGGTGAGAGACAGGTGAGAGACAGGTGTGAGACAGGTGAGACACAGGTGTGAGACAGGTGAGACAGACAGGTGTGAGACAGGTGAGAGGTGTGAGACACAGGTGTGAGACACAGATGTGAGACAGGTGAGAGAGACTGTGCCGTACCCTCAGCGTCCAGCATCTTGGGAATGTCCAGGTACTTGTCTGCGACCTCAAACGCCGTGTTCAGGTTCGTCATGGGGTCATCCTGCGAGGGGGAGACGGGAGGGTACGGTCATCGTCATTCTCGCTCGGACCGTCACCCTTTCGTTCATTACTTGACCGCGTTTCTCTCTCTCTCTCTCCCTCGGGTTCAGAGCAGTACGGTTTGACGTGGCACAGCCCGGGATTTGGTGTCCGTGTTCTGCGAGTGTGGCAAGAACCGATGGCTGCCGAGGTGAGGCAGCAGCGGTGGAGCTGTGCTCGGCTCCACCACAGGATCCTGCGGTGTCGCTGTGCTCAGCTCCACCGCAGGATCCTGCGGTGGAGCTGTGCTCGGCTCCACCACAGGATCCAGCGGTGTCGCTGTGCTCAGCTCAACCGCAGGATCCTGCGGTGGAGCTGTGCTCGGCTCCACCACAGGATCCAGCGGTGTCGCTGTGCTCAGCTCAACCGCAGGATCCAGCGGTGTCGCTGTGCTCGGCTCCACCGCAGGATCCAGCGGTGTCGCTGTGCTCGGCTCCACCGCAGGATCCTGCAACGCGTTGGGAACGGACGGCCGAGCGCCGAGTGAGGAATTCGTCCGGGTTGGGTCGGCCGTGCGTCGCCGGCACCGCCACCGCCACCACCCCCACCGCCACCACCCCCACCACCACCGCCACCACCACCACCCCCACAGCCACAGCCACCCCCACCACCGCCACCGCCACCCCCACCACCACCCCCACCACCACCACCCCTTGTTTGTTTTTGGGGGGGGAATTAACGAGTGGGGTGTGGGTGGGGGGGCGCCCGTGTAGGTGGTGCGACCCCGCAGGTGAGGCGGAGGGGGGCGGCTGGCGTGGTGACGCTCGCCACACGGAACGTGCGGGTGGGGGGGGGGGCAGGAAATTACCCGCAGGTGCATGCCGTGCCCACTCGGCGCTGCCACTGACCGCACGCACCCGAGTTCGACTCCCGGCCAGTGGCGAGTAATGTCTGCACTGCTCCTGTCCCACGCGTGTATGGGCGTGTGTCTGTGGAGGAGGCTCGTGGAGGACGCTGCTGCTGCTGCTGCTGCTGGGCAGGTGGAGGCTGTCGCCCTCCAGCAACACGGCAGAGGGCGGAGCGGCGACGCTCACAACGACGAGCGGAGCGCCGGGCGGATAAAGCGCAGCAAGTTGGCACAGTAGTGGGCACAGGTGGTGCATCGGCCAGTCGTCTCAGTCAGTCGACAAATTAACCCATGGCACCTGGGTCTGTCCCGTGACCTCCTGACACCAGCGAGCCTTTCACACTTCATGTGACGGCATCAAAGTGCACCTGGCCAGGCACAAGCGCTTAGTGGCGAATGCCAACTGCTGCTGCTGCTGCTGGTGTGTGGTGGGAGCGGTAACATAGTGGCTTGGGCACTGCGCTACGAACCCGGCGACCCAAGTTTGATTCCTACACACGGCCAATATCGGTGACGAATATCTGGTTTGGGACCTCCCCTAGGTCGACTAAGCCTTAAATAAGTACCTGACGTGATGTGTGAATGTCAGCACTGGGGAGACAAAGGCGGCCGAGGGTGGTGCTGGCCACCCACCCCCTCAGGTGCCGCGCCGGCCTTCATAGGTGCTCGCTTACAGCACTGGTCCCAACAGTCTGTGAAGGCTACACGGGGGATCTTTGTCTTGTGTGTGTCGATGTGGGGAGCGGTAGTGGTTAAAGTGCCGTGCTGTGAAGCTGGTGATGATAATGATGATGTTAGTAACAACATCATCACCACCACCATAATTAAACGTTACGATGACTGTCGAAATGATTTACCGTGGCGTTATTAAAAAATCTGATCATTTTAAAACCTGCATATTTATTAGTGGGGAAATGCTCACCGAGTCTCAAGACCGCTTTCAAGGAGGGTCCTGCTCCCCGTGCGGCAAGCAAGGAGGGAGCTCAGCAGAGTGCTGCGACCGAGGAGACACCCCCTCCCCCCCCCCCCACGCTGCACACTTCCTTGGAGGTTTACGAAATCTCTGCACGATCCACCAACCCCGCCCACTCCGCCACCCCTGCCGTCTCTCGTGCGTTTGGACAGGCGAGCTACCCGCGACCAACAGTGACATTTTAAGTGTTATTTAATGTTATCCTAACACCACGCACGTCTGTAGAGGAATTACAGTCGTTACTAAAGTTTCAGAGGAACTTGGACCGGGGGAGGGGGGGGGAGGTGAGAAATATTTTAGTGATAAACGAGGAGGAGGGAAGAGAGGAAGTTGCTGCCTCCGCTTGCACGCCGCTTGCATCGTCACCCCCAGCCACACGGCCTCTTGGCACACCGCTCACCACACCACTTCACAGATCGCTCACCACACCGCTCACCACACCACTTCACACATCGCTCACCACACCGCTCACCACATCACTTCACACACCGCTCACCACACCGCTCACCACACCACTTCACACATCGCTCACCACACCGCTCACCACATCACTTCACACATCGCTCACCACACCGCTCACCACACCGCTCACCACACCGCTCACCACACCACTTCACACATCGCTCACCACACCGCTCACCACACCACTTCACACATCACTCACCACACCGCTCACCACACCGCTCACCACATCACTTCACACATCACTCACCACACCGCTCTCCACACCGCTCACCACATCACTCACCACACAGCTCACCACATCGCTCACCACATCGCTCACCACATCACTCACATTGCTCACCACATCGCTCACCACATCACTCACATTGCTCACCACATCGTTCATCCCCTGCAAGCCTCGCCCAACTTTGCTTCTCTATGCGAGTCTGTGGGTCTCTATGTGAGTCTGTGGGTCTCTATGTGAGTCTGTGGGTCTCTGTGTGAATCTGCGGGTCTCTATGTGAGTCTGTGGGTCTCTATGCGAGTCTGTGGTTCTCTATGTGAGTCTGTGGTTCTCTATGCGAGTCTGTGGGTCTCTATGTGAGTCTGTGGGTCTCTGTGTGAGTCTGTTGGTCTCTATGTGAGTCTGTGGGTCTCTATGCGAGTCTGTGGGTCTCTATGCGAGTCTGTGGGTCTCTGTGTGAGTCTCTACGTGAGTCTATGGGTCTCTACGTGAGTCTGTGGGACTCTATGAGTGTGTGGGTCTCTGTGGGTCTCTATGAGTCTGTGGGTCTCTATGAGTGTGTGGGTCTATGAGTGTGTGGGTCTCTACGAGTCTGTGGGTGTCTATGAGTCTGTGGGTCTCTATGAGTCTGTGGGTCTCTATGAGTGTGTGGGTCTCTATGAGTGTGTGGGTCTCTATGAGTGTGTGGGTCTCTATGAGTGTGTGGGTTTCTATGAGTGTGTGGGTCTCTATGAGTGTGTGGGTCTCTACGAGTGTGTGGGTCTCTATGAGTCTCTGGGTCTCTACGAGTGTGTGGGTCTCTGTGTGGGACTCTATGCGAGTCTGTGGGTCTCTACGAGTGTGTGGGTCTCTGAGTGTGTGGGTCTCTCTACGAGTCTGTGGGTCTCTATGAGTCTGTGGGTCTCTATGAGTCTGTGGGTCTCTATGAGTCTGTGGGTCTCTATGAGTGTGTGGGTCTCTATGAGTGTGTGGGTCTCTACGAGTGTGTGGGTCTCTATGAGTGTGTGTGGGTCTCTATGAGTCTGTGGGTGTCTCTGGGTCTCTATGAGTGTGTGGGTCTCTATGAGTGTGTGGGTCTCTATGAGTGTGTGGGTCTCTATGAGTGTGTGGGTCTCTATGAGTGTGTGGGTCTCTACGAGTCTCTGGGTCTCTACGAGTGTGTGGGACTCTGTGTGGGTCTCTATGCGAGTCTGTGGGTCTCTACGAGTCTGTGGGTCTCTACGAGTGTGTGGGTCTATGAGTGTGTGGGTCTCTCTACGAGTCTGTGGGTCTCTGCGAGTGTGTGGGTCTCTGTGGGTCTCTACGTGAGTCTGTGGGTCTCTACGAGTGTGTGGGTCTATGAGTGTGTGGGTCTCTCTACGAGTCTGTGGGTCTCTACGAGTGTGTGGGTCTCTCTACGAGTCTGTGGGTCTCTACGAGTGTGTGGGTCTCTACGAGTGTGTGGGTCTCTACGAGTGTGTGGGTCTATGAGTGTGTGGGTCTCTCTACGAGTCTGTGGGTCTCTACTAGTGGGTGGGTCTCTGTGGGTCTCTACGTGAGTCTGTGGGTCTCTGTGTATGTCTACACCCGGGTTGGAACCCAGGCCTGCAGGGGGAGTGGCTCCGTGTCCCTGAGCTCTGTCCCAGCACCGTGACGACCTCCCCCTAATTGATTTGAACCAATTCATGATCGCAAACCCCTCGTTAATTAAGACGTCAGGAGTTTGGGGGGGTGGGTGGGGTGGGGCTGGAGTCTGAATGTGGTTGTGGGGGTCCCTAGAGTGGGGGGTTGGCAGTGGGGCGGGGGGTGGGGGGGAGGGGGGGTTAGGGGGGGTGCTGTTGTTTCACAAGGCAACCATTTTCACATAATCAGGGCCCACCGGCCACTTAACCGCAATTTCCTCCCGACGAGAAAACGAGAAGAGGGGGAGGGGGGGGCGCACAGGGACCGTGCCGACGGTTACCGGACGGAGCGGTGCCCGCAGGAGTCGGGAGAGCGAGGAACAGGCCGGGAACAAGCCGGGAACAAGCCGGGAACAGGCCGGGAACAGGCCGGGAACAGGCCGGGAACAAGCCGGGAACAAGCCGGGAACAAGCCAGGAACAAGCCGGGAACAGGCCGGGAACAGGCCGGGAACAGGCCGGGAACAAGCCGGGAACAGGCCGGGAACAAGCCGGGAACAAGCCGGGAACAGGCCGGGAACAGGCCGGGAACAGGCCGTGACAACAAGAGAGCCTCTGTGTCTACGCCGCACAACTCCACGCTCGCACACCGCCCATTAGGTCGGAGCGTACGACAACGCGAGCGCGGCCTCGTGGTCCCGCTCGGCGGCAGGGAACACTCACGCAGGCAAAGGCCCCCTCCCGTGGAGTCCTCGCGGGCTGTTTGGGAGGCAAGTGCTGTCAGCCGAGCACCCGTAAACTATGACTCAACATTTTGTATTTAACCAGGTGAGGCCCCACTGGGTTGTGTAGCTCATTCTCAGAAGCGACCTGGCCATCACAAATGAGGGCTCAACGAAGTGGCTGAGCAGCAGCATCATCATCATCATCGTGTGCAAATTCACAGCAGCAGCCAAACGAACGCGTCGTGACGTCGACTCTAAACGTGGAGGGAAAAACCTGGGGGACCTGGAAGAAAGTCCACACGACCACGGGGAGAAGCAAACACACGGACACGAGAAGACACACTAGCGGAGACACGCTAGCGGAGACACGTGAGCGGACACGCGAGAAGACACACTAGTGGAGACACGCTAGCGGAGACACGTGAGCGGAGACACGTGAGCGGAGACACGGGAGCTGAGACACGAGGAGACACGTGAGCAGAGACACGAGGAGACACGAGGAGACACAAAGAGACATGAGAAGACACACTAGTGGAGACACGCTAGCGGAGACACGAGGAGACACGAGGAGACACACTAGTGGAGACACGCTAGCGGAGACACGAGGAGACACGAGGAGACATGAGAAGACACACTAGTGGAGACACGAGGAGACATGAGAAGACACACTAGTGGAGACACGAGGAGACACGAGGAGACATGAGGAGACATGAGAAGACACACTAGTGGAGACACGCTAGCGGAGACACGTGAGCGGAGACACGAGGAGACATGAGGAGACACGAGGAGACACGAGAAGACATGAGAAGACACTAGTGGAGACACGCTAGCGGAGACACGTGAGCAGAGACACGAGGAGACACGAGGAGACACGAGGAGACACACTAGTGGAGACACGCTAGCGGAGACACGCGAGCGGAGACACGAGGAGACACGAGGAGACACGAGGAGACATGAGAAGACACACTAGTGGAGACACGCTAGCGGAGACACGCGAGCGGAGACAGGAGGAGACACGAGGAGACACGAGGAGACATGAGAAGACACACTAGTGGAGACACGCTAGCGGAGACACGAGGAGACACGAGGAGACACGAGAAGACACACTAGTGGAGACACGCTAGCGGAGACACGTGAGCGGAGACACGAGGAGACACGAGGAGACACGAGGAGACACACTAGTGGAGACACGCTAGCGGAGACACGCGAGCGGAGACACGAGGAGACACGAGGAGACACGAGGAGACACGAGGAGACACACTAGTGGAGACACGCTAGCGGAGACACATGAGCGGAGACACGAGGAGACACGAGGAGACACGAGAAGACACACTAGTGGAGACACGCTAGCGGAGACACGTGAGCAGAGACACGAGGAGACACGAGGAGACACACTAGCGGAGAGACACTAGCGGAGACACGCTAGCGGAGACACGTGAGCGGAGACACGTGAGTGGAGACACGCTAGCGGAGACACGCTAGCGGAGACACGCTAGCGGAGACACGAGGAGACACGAGGAGACACGCGAGCGGAGACACGAGGAGACACGCGAGCGGAGACACGTGAGCGCGCTACCTTTCTGAGCTTGGCGAAGTCGATGAGCTCAGGGCGATGCCGATGGATGAGGGCACAGAAGGCGAGGCCGTCCTTCCAGCTGGGCACCACGCGGACAGAGACAGAGACAAACACCACCATCACCAACACCGCCACCACTGTCACTACCGTCATCACCACCATCACCACCACAGACAACGTCGTGACCATCACCATCATCACGGGCAACATCGTCACCATCACCAGTGAGTGAGTGGTGGCCGAGTCACAAGGTGAGTGAGTGGTTGGGTGAGTGAGCGAGTGAGTGCATGAGTGGGCGAGTAATGGAGAGGGTGAGTGGGAGAGCGGGCGAGCGAGTGGGCGAGCGGGTGAGTGGGCGAGCAATGGAGAGTGGGAGAGCGGGCGAGCGAGTGGGCGAGCGGGTGAGTGGGCGAGCAATGGAGAGTGGGAGAGTGGGCGAGCGAGTGGGCGAGCGGGTGAGTGGGCGACGGACCTGAGGTGGAAGTTCTGGACGTTGACGTTCTTGTAGGGTGCCGTCTTGCGCTGGCACCAAAGCAGCAGCCCCTCCTTAGCCGACGTCTCTGCACGAACCATAATCATCACCATCATCATTACCACCATCAACCACCACCATCACACCACCACCATCACAACACCATCATCACATCGCCATCCTCATTACCATTACCACCATCAACCACCACCATAATCATCACCATCATCACATCGCCATCCTCATTACCACCATCAACCACCACCATCACAACACCATCATCACATCGCCATCCTCATTACCATTACCACCATCAACCACCACCATAATCATCACCATCATCACATCGCAATCCTCATTACCACCATCAACCCCCATCAACCACCACCATCACAACACCATCATCACATCGCCATCCTCATTACCATTACCACCATCAACCACCACCATCACAACACCATCATCACATCGCCATCCTCATTACCACCATCAACCACCACCATGACAACACCATCATCACATCGCCATCCTCATTACCATTACCACCATCAACCACCACCATAATCATCACCATCATCACATCGCCATCCTCATTACCACCATCAACCACCACCATCACAACACCATCATCACATCGCCATCCTCATTACCATTACCACCATCAACCACCACCATAATCATCACCATCATCACATCGCCATCCTCATTACCACCATCAACCACCACCATAATCATCGCCATCATCACATCGCCATCCTCATTACCATTACCACCATCAACCTTCACCATTACACCACCATCATCACATCGCCATCCTCATTACCATTACCACCATCAACCTTCACCATAATCATCACCATCATAATCACCATCCTCACCATTACCACCATCAACCTTTAACCTTCATAATCATCGCCAATCCTCACCATCATCGTCAACATCATTACCATCATCAATATAATCACCATCACGATCACAATCATCATCACCATTAGTCACCATCATCATCACCACCATCATCATCATTACTGCCATCACCAACATCACCATCATTATCACTGTCACACTCCCATGTCCCAGTGTCTCCCCGTGTCTCCCCGTGTCTCCCAGTGCCTTCCCCGTGCCTCCCAGTGCCTCCCGGTGTCTCCCGGTGTCTCCCAGTGCCTCCCCGTGTCTCCCGGTGTCTCCCAGTGTCTCCCAGTGTCTCCCCGTGTCTCCCAGTGTCTCCCAGTGCCTCCCCGTGTCTCTCAGTGTCTCCCAGTGTCCCTCAGTGTCTCCCAGTGTCTCCCAGTGCCTCCCCGTGTCTCTCAGTGTCTCCCAGTGTCTCCCAGTGCCTCCCCGTGTCTCTCAGTGTCTCTCAGTGTCTCTCAGTGTCTCCCAGTGTCTCCCCGTGTCTCTCAGTGTCTCCCAGTGTCCCTCAGTGTCTCCCAGTGTCTCCCCGTGTCTCCCAGTGTCTCCCAGTGCCTCCCCGTGTCTCTCAGTGTCTCCCAGTGCCTCCCCCTGTCTATCAGTGTCTCCCAGTGTCTCCCAGTGCCTCCCCGTGTCTCTCAGTGTCTCCCAGTGTCTCTCAGTGTCTCCCAGTGCCTCCCAGTGCCTCCCCGTGTCTCTCAGTGTCTCTCAGTGTCTCCCAGTGCCTCCCCCTGTCTCTCAGTGTCTCCCAGTGTCTCCCAGTGCCTCCCCCTGTCTCTCAGTGTCTCCCAGTGTCTCCCAGTGCCTCCCCGTGTCTCTCAGTGTCTCTCAGTGTCTCCCAGTGCCTCCCCCTGTCTCTCAGTGTCTCTCAGTGTCTCCCAGTGCCTCCCAGTGTCTCTCAGTGTCTTCCAGTGTCTCTCAGTGTCTCCCAGTGTCTCTCAGTGCCTCCCCGTGTCTCTCAGTGTCTCCCAGTGTCTCTCAGTGTCTCCCAGTGCCTCCCCGTGTCTCTCAGTGCCTCCCCCTGTCTCTCAGTGTCTCCCAGTGTCTCCCAGTGCCTCCCCGTGTCTCTCAGTGTCTCTCAGTGTCTCCCAGTGCCTCCCCCTGTCTCTCAGTGTCTCCCAGTGCCTCCCCGTGTCTCTCAGTGTCTCCCAGTGCCTCCCCGTGTCTCTCAGTGTCTCCCAGTGTCCCTCAGTGTCTCCCAGTGTCTCCCCTCGTACCTTCAACGGAGATGTCCTGGATAGCAAATCTCAGGATGATTGTCCAGATCATCCCGAGGGTCATCTTCACGTTCCCGTCCACGATCTCTGCTCGGCACAAACGACCGGGGGGCCGGGGCGGGGGGGCTCAGAGTTTGTGGATCTCGCGAGGGATTCGTAGCCAGCACACTGCACTGTAAGGTCACCCATGTCTGTTTCTGCACGTGTCTATGTATGTCGCATCATGTTGAACTTCTTTCGCACCGTACGTAGCCAACCGTGCTAATGAGAGGTGCGGGGGAAGGGCAACAAACTAAAAACAAAAAGCAGCTCGAAAGAAATGAATTTTCAACTGCGGAGTTGGGGTTGTTGTTTAAATGGCAAAATTCGTGTCACTTTGCCTTCCGCCACGCGACCAGATGGTCACTTTCGCTGGGACACGATGTAGAAGTGCCGGCGGATCGAGTGAGAAAAGCTGCTCACGGAGGGCCGAAGACTTTTCATGGCAAAAACAAAAATGGACGACGACGTTGTTGTTGGTTGTTGTTGTTTAGTTTTATATGGGGCGGCAGGGTGGTAGCGCCGCAAGTGGTGACACTCGTGACACCGGTGAACACGCACACACACGGTGAACACGCACACACGGTGAACACACACACACACGGTGAACACACACACACACGGTGAACACACACGGTGAACACACACACACACGGTGAACACACACACACGGTGAACACACACACACACGGTGAACACACACACACACGGTGAACACACACACACACGGTGAACACACACACACACACATGGTGAACACGCACACACGGTGAACACGCACACACACGGTGAACACACACACACGGTGAACACACAGGGTGAACACACACACACACGGTGAACACACACACGGTGAACACACACACACGGTGAACACACACACACGGTGAACACACACACACACGGTGAACACGCACACACACGGTGAACACACACACACACACGGTGAACACGCACACACGGTGAACACACACACGGTGAACACACACACACGGTGAACACACACACACGGTGAACACACACACACACGGTGAACACACACACACACGGTGAACACACACACACACGGTGAACACACACACACACGGTGAACACACACACACGGTGAACACACACACATGGTGAACACACACACACACGGTGAACACACACACATGGTGAACACACACGGTGAACACACACACACATGGTGAACACACACACACGGTGAACACACACACACGGTGAACACACACATGGTGAACACACACACACGGTGAACACACACACATGGTGAACACACACGGTGAACACACACGGTGAACACACACACACACGGTGAACACACAAACACGGTGAACACACACACACGGTAAACACACACACACACACGGTGAACACACACACACACACATGGTGAACACACACACACGGTGAACACACACGGTGAACACACACACACGGTGAACACACACACACGGTGAACACACACACACGGTGAACACACACACACGGTGAACACACACACACACACACATGGTGAACACACACACACGGTGAACACACACACACGGTGAACACACACACATGGTGAACACACACACACGGTGAACACACACATGGTGAACACACACATGGTGAACACACACACACGGTGAACACACACACACGGTGAACACACACACATGGTGAACACACACACATGGTGAACACACACACATGGTGAACACACGCATGGTGAACACACACACACGGTGAACACACACACGGTGAACACACACACATGGTGAACACACAAGGTGAACACACACACGGTGAACACACACGGTGAACACACAAGGTGAACACACACACACACACGGTGAACACACACACACGGTGAACACACACATGGTGAACACACACACACACGGTGAACACACACACATGGTGAACACACGGCCCCTTGTACACAAAGACACTTGGACACGGACGCCACATTCCACGAGCACAGCGACAGGGGCGGTGCGGACGCCTCGCGTAGAAAACTGCACCGCACGTCATGCGTGCGTGTGTGCGTCATGCACGTGTGTGTGCGTCATGCACGTGTGTGTGCGTCATGCACGTGTGTGTGTGCGTGTGTGCGTCATGCACGTGTGTGTGTGCGTGTGTGCGTCATGCACGTGTGTGTGTGCGTGTGTGCGTCATGCACGTGTGTGCGTGCGTGCGTGTGCGTGTCATGCGTGCGTGCGTGTGTGCGTCATGCACGTGTGTGTGTGCGTGTGCGCGTCATGCGTGTGTGCGTGCGTGCGTGTGCGTCATGCACGTGTGTGCGTCATGCACGTGTGTGCGTGCGTGTGCGCGTCATGTGTGCGTGCGTGTGCGCGTCATGTGTGCGTGTGTTGTGCGTGTGTGTGTCGTGTGTCCGCGCGTATCACCCCTGGATTGGGGGGGGGGTTCTTTACGCGAGCGAAAATAAAAAGTCGCAATCATCACAAAGACCCTCAACAATGCACGTGCAGGTGTCACTGCTGCGTGTCACTGCTGCGTGTCGCTAGGGCGTGTCGCTGCTGCGTGTCACTGCTGCGTGTCACTGGGGCGTGTCACTGCTGCGTGTCACTGCTGCGTGACGCTAGGGCGTGTCACTGCTGCGTGTCACTGCTGCGTGTCACTGCTGCATGTCACTGCTGCGTGTCACTGCTGCATGTCACTGCTGCGTGTCGCTGCTGCGTGTCACTGCTGCGTGTCGCTGCGGCGTGTCACTGCTGCGTGTCACTGCTGCGTGTCGCTGCTGCGTGTCACTGCTGCGTGTCACTAGGGCGTGTCACTGCTGCGTGTCACTGCTGCGTGTCACTGCTGCGTGTCGCTGCTGCGTGTCACTGCTGCGTGTCACTAGGGCGTGTCACTGCTGCGTGTCGCTGCTGCGTGTCGCTGGGGCGTGTCACTGCTGTGTGTCACTGCTGCGTGTCACTGCTGCGTGTTGCTGGGGCGTGTCACTGCTGCGTGTCACTGCTGCGTGTCGCTGGGGCGTGTCGCTGCTGCGTGTTGCTGGGGCGTGTCACTGCTGTGTGTCACTGCTGCGTGTCACTGCTGCGTGTCGCTGGGGCGTGTCACTGGGGCGTGTCACTGCTGCGTGTCACTGCTGCGTGTCACTGCTGCGTGTCGCTGGGGCGTGTCACTGGGGCGTGTCACTGCTGCGTGTCACTGCTGCGTGTCACTGCTGCGTGTCACTAGGGCGTGTCACTGCTGCGTGTCGCTGGGGCGTGTCACTGCTGCGTGTCGCTGGGGCGTGTCACTGCTGCGTGTCACTGCTGCGTGTCACTGCTGCGTGTCACTGGGGCGTGTCACTGCTGCGTGTCGCTGGGGCGTGTTGCTGCTGCGTGTCGCCGCTGCGTGTCACTGCTGCGTGTCACTGCTGCGTGTCGCTGGGGCGTGTTGCTGGGGCGTGTCACTGCTGCGTGTCACTGCTGCGTGTCACTGGGGCGTGTCACTGCTGCGTGTCGCTGCTGCGTGTCACCGCTGCGTGTCGCTGGGGCGTGTCACTGCTGCGTGTCACTGCTGCGTGTCACTGCTGCGTGTCACTGCTGCGTGTCGCTGGGGCGTGTCACTGCTGCGTGTCACTGCTGCGTGTCACTGCTGCGTGTCACTGCTGCATGTCACTGCTGCGTGTCACTGCTGCGTGTCACTGCTGCGTGTCACTGCTGCGTGTCACTGCTGCGTGTCACTGCTTCGGTGGCGGCGGCGAGCCCCACGAGCGGGGGGGGGGGGGGGTAGCTCGTTGAGAGTGCTCGTTGTGGCCGGCACGGGGGGGGGGGGGGGTAGCTCGTTGAGAGTGCTCGTTGTGGCCGGCACGGGGGGGGGGCCCACAAGCGCCGCCTTCTGCGTGCCGGCGAGGGTTTGCCCCCCGCCCCCCGCCCCCCGCCGCTGACGTTTTGATGTTTACCTCGCGAAATTAATTATCGCGCAATTATTTTCGCGTTTAAACAAATATAAAAATTAATTCACGACGCAAAAATTCCCGTAATTTTTCTGGCGCAGATGTTGAACTCCCCTCCCCCTCTCGCCCCCCCGTTTAGAGGCGCGCCATAATGAGTCCTCCCTTTTATACACCCACACAGCCACCCCGCTTCCTCCTTCCTCTCCTCCTCCACCATCCTCCTCCCTCTCCGGCGATATTAATTCCTTTACGGGCTTCAAAAGCCGTGGCCGGCGATGATGGATGGCCGCGGCCTCGCGCCAAAAAGGAGTCGCGTTTCGTGGAACTGCTTTGGCGTCTCTTCCACGGGGCCCTGCACAGACTCGCTCGCTAACTCACGCACAGACTCACTCACACACTTACAGAATCACTCGCTCGCTCGCGCACAGACTCACTCACACACTTACAGAATCACTCGCTCGCTCGCGCACAGACTCACTCACACACTTACAGAATCACTCGCTCACTCATGCACAGACTCACTCACACACTTACAGAATCACGCACAGACTCGCTCGCTCACGCAAGACTCACTCACACACTTACAGAATCACTCGCTCACTCACGCACAGACTCACACACTTACAGAATCACGCACAGACTCACTCGCTCACTCATGCACAGACTCACTCACACACTTACAGAATCACTCGCTCACTCAAGCACAGACTCACACACTTACTGAATCACGCACAGACTCGCTCGCTCACTCGCGCACAGACTCACTCACACACTTACAGAATCACGCATAGACTCACTCACTCACACACAGACTCGCTCGCTAACTCATGCACAGACTCACTCACACACTTACAGAATCACGCACAGACTCACTCACACACTTACAGAATCACGCAAACTCACTCGCTCACTCACGCACAGACTCACTCGCTCACTCGCTCAGACTCATTCACACACTTAAAGAATCACGCACAGACTCACTCACGCAAGCACAGACTCACTCACACACTTACAGAATCATGCACAGACTCACTCGCTCACTCACGCACAGACTCGCTCACACACTTACAGAATCACGCACAGACTCACTCACTCACTCACGCACAGACTCGCTCGCTCACTCACGCACAGACTCACTCGCTCACTTACAGAATCACGCACAGACTCACTCACACACTTACAGAATCACGCACAGACTCACTCGCTCACTCACGCACAGACTCGCTCACACACTTACAGAATCACGCATAGACTCACTCGCGCATAGACTCACTCGCTCACTCATGCACAGACTCACTCACACACTTACAGAATCACGCATAGACTCACTCGCTCACTCATGCACAGACTCACTCACACACTTACAGAATCACGCACAGACTCACTCGCTAACTCACGCACAGACTCACTCACACACTTACAGAATCACGCACAGACTCGCTCCCTCACTCACACACTTACAGAATCACGCATAGACTCACTCGCTCACACACTTACAGAATCACTCACGCACAGACTCACTCACACTTACAGAATCACGCACAGACTCACTCACACACTTACAGAATCATGCACAGACTCACTCGCTCACTCATGCACAGACTCACTCACACACTTACAGAATCACGCATAGACTCACTCGCTCACTCACGCAAGACTCACGCATAGACTCACTCGCTCACTCACGTACAGACTCACTCACACACAGAATCACGCACAGACTCACTCGCTCACTCATGCACAGACTCACTCACACACTTACAGAATCACGCACAGACTCACTCGCAAAAACAGATCACCTCACACGCTCACAGACTCACTGGCTCACAGAGGTTCACTCGGGCATCCGGTGACCTTCTTCATGGCTGGTCATCTAACCTCGATCTAGCCCCTCGTCGCTGCTGCTGCTGGCTCCATGCGACAGAAGCAGAAGGAGACGATCGCCAATCCGTTTTATCGTTACGACGACGATGGTGACAACGGCGGTGACCATGACGGCGACTGTTACCCTCGGCTCCGATTGAGACGAGGCGGACGCCCTTGCTGGCGATGAAGTTGAGCGCTTTGTTGACGTTGGCGATCTTGTGAACGCGCATCTTCCCCTTCTCCGGCTTCGGCAGACGCTCGCCTGCAGACGCACAGCACGCACCGTCATGGCCATGCGCACACAACACACTACCATAGTCACACACACACACAGCACGCACCACCACGGTCACACACACACAACACACAGCACGCACCACCACGGTCACGCACACACAGCACGCACCACCATAGTCACACACACACACACAGCATCATGGTCACACACACACTACCATAGTCACACACACACACTACCATAGTCACACACACACAACACACACTACCACAGTCACACACGCACAACACACACTACCATAGTCACACACACACAACACACACTACCATAGTCACACACACACACAGCACGCACCACCACGGTCACGCACACACAACACACACTACCACAGTCACACACACACACAGCACGCACCACCACGGTCACACACACACACAGCACGCACCACCACAATCACACACACACACAACACACACTACCATAGTCACACACAGCACGCACCACCACGGTCACACACACAACACACACTACCATAGTCACACACACATCGCGCACCGTCACGGCCATGCACACACACACAGCATGCACCACCACAATCACACACACACAACACACACTACCATAGTCACACACACACACAGCACGCACCACCACGGTTACACACACACACACAGCACGCACCACCACGGCAGCCACGAGGACAATCATCGCGATGACGACGATCACGATGATGATGATCAGGACCAAGTGGCGACCCTCGTGGTGACCCTAGTGGTGACCCTAGTGGTGACCTGACCGGCGAGCCTCGTGGTGACCCTAGTGGTGACCCGTGAGGAGTGACCAGGCGGCTCACCGGAGATGACCTCCAGCAGCAGCATGAGGCGCAGGCCATCCCGGAAGTCCTCCTCGATGTTGGCGATGGCCGTGCCGGCCTTGCGGAGGTGGGAGTTGCACCACGCCGTGAACGTCTGCGGGGTGTGGGGGGCAGAGACAGCGTCAGGCGACGGTCGCCCGGGCACGCTCACCTCGCCCGGCGCAAGCCGCGTGGAGACGTCACCGCCGCCACTTGGTGGCTATTGGCGGCTGCGGCTGTTGTCGTGAATGCACGCGTGTGCTACACGTGCCACGTGTCTGCAGACAGAGAGACACTTGCGGTGTCTCTGTGGTCTCTCTATCCCGCGCGTGAACGTCACCCGGCCCCTCGCGGCCACGAAGCCTGGACTCACCGGGTTGTACATTTCGATGGGACGAGGAAGGCTCCTCATCGTGGTGGCGATGACGATGACGAATACAATTTTCCGAAAACGTCGTTGGACCGTCTCAAACCTGGAGGACCTCCTCCAGATGTTGGAGGACCTCCTGAACCGTGCAGGACCTCCCTAATGTAACAGGACCTCTTCCTCCTCCAGATGTTGGAGGACCTGCTGAAGCGTGTAGGACCTCCTCAATGTTGTAGGGCCTCTTCTAGACGTTGTGGATCCATCTCAAGGCGTGAGGAAATTCTCACGGTTGTAGGACCTCCTCGATGTCGCAGGCCTCCTCCACCTCCAGAGGTCGTAGGCCTCCCTAATATTGTAAGACCTCTTCCAAAGAACCTTGTCAAGGTTGTAGGCCCTCGTCCAGAAGTTGCAGGGCTTCCTTAACGGTGTAGGACCTCCTCCAGAGGCTGCAGTAGGTCAGAGTGCGACTTGCTACATGCGAACTGGCGATACCCGAGCAGTCAATCCGGCTAACGTAACGGAGACGCGGAATGGTCCTGTCCAACGCGACCTGTCCGAGCCGTCTTCGGCTACTAGTCTATAACACGACCTGCCTAAGACGCCGTGTCCCCACCCCGTGTCTCCGCGCCGCGTGCGTCCGGCGGTGCGCGCCGCTCACAATGCGCCCCCTGTGCGAGCGTGGGCAGCAGCAGCAGCCGCGGCGGCGACGACGGCGGCGGCGGCGGTGGCACGGCGGCGGCCGCCTCCGACGCCACCGCCGCTGCTCCTGTGTAAGACGATGCCGGCGCACGGAGAGAGAGAGAGAAGGGAGCGCGGCGTCAAGACAAAGGGTCCCCCCCCACCCTTCATAGCCTCAATGGGCAGCTGGGGCAAGTGCTGAGAGAGCATGGCCGTCCACGGAGAAAGACGCCCCTGCGTTCCACGGCTCCAGCCCGGGAATTTTTCCCAACTTTGGGAACAAATAGGAGCCTGACGCCGGCACGCGGTGACCGAGTCTTGCAGGCGGCGTGTGGGATTTTGATAACAGTCGACGCAGCCGCGGAAACAGGAGCGGGGCGGCCTGCCCGGTTCGAACCGGGAACCCCTACAACAAGCGGCCAACGCGCTACCGCTGGGCCGCGTCACTCAGAGACAGCCGCACGGCGGCGGCAGCGGCGGCGGCAGATAATCACGTGGCGTCTCATCGAGCGCCGTGGAGGCAGCAGCGAGACTGGCTCGCCAGGGGATGGCGGCACGGCAAAGTGCGGACGCCACCTGTTCCGTCTGTACGGGAAAAAGAGTTTCCCCCTCGCACGGTCGCGTGCGGTTGTCTTTCCAGGCGCTCACAACTAATACATATAAACACCGAGCAGTTGGCCGACGCCACCTTCATGTGTAGAGGACCGCAGAGCTCGGACAATTGTTGGTAGCGCCGGATCCTTACGGTGTGGCTACTCTTCGTCTGTGGTTCCTCCTGGCGCCTTTGAGTTGTCCTCTCTGTCTCTCTCTCTCTCGACGGGCACACGGCGACTCTGGGCGAACGCCCTGGGCCCCGCGCTTTGGGGGGCCCCGTGCTTTGGGGGGCCCCGCGCTTCGACATAGCGAAGGCGCCGGGGGGTCCCGCACACCCCCCTCTTCGGAAGGCCCTGGGTGCGGCGTTATGAGTTGGCATCATCACCATCATCACCATCAGCGGCGTCGTCGTTATTATTATTATTATTTCTAGACGGAGGCATCCTTCAGAAGTGGGGGGGAACGCGGCGCACGACGACGAGCGAAGGAACGGACGGCGATCGATGGAACGCCCCCGCGGTGCGGAGACCAAAACAAACCGGCAGGGTTCACGTCGCCCGCACATCACCCCCCCCCCTTCACCCCCCCCTTCACCCCCCCGGCCCCCGCCACCCCCCCCGGCTCCCGCCGCCCCCCCCAGCCAGGTCCAGAAACGTGAGACCCACCTGCGGCAGGAGGCCCGGCGACGGGGGAAAGGAGAGAGAAATAAAAAAATAATCCGTCTCGGCATCGCTCGCACGGCGAGTTTAAGGGAGCTCTGTTCGACGGCATAATACAAAATAAATAAATGCTGGGGGGGGGGGGGGGGGGAGCAGTCGATGGCCGAGGATCAAATTGTGCACCGGGCAAATAAAGAGCCCAGTGTTGTGACTCCGCTACCACCACCACCGCCACCACCATCGCCACCACCGCCACCACCACCATCGCCACCACCATTGCCACCATCACTGCCACCACCACCATCATCGCCACCACCACCGCCACCATTGCCACCACCACCGCCACCATCACCACCATCGCCGCCACCACCGCCATCATCGCCACCACCGCCATCATCACCATCACCACCATCGCCACCACCATCGCCACCATCACTGCCACCACCACCATCATCGCCACCACCGCCATCATCGCCATCACCGCCACCATCACCACCATCACCACCATCGCCGCCACCACCGTCATCATCACCATCGCCACCACCATCGCCACCATCACTGCCACCACCACCATCATCGCCACCACCGCCATCATCACCATCACCGCCACCACCATCGCCACCATCACTGCCGCCACCATCACTGCCACCACCATCACCGCCAGCACCACCGCCACCACCATCACCACCACCACCACCACCACGAGAAGCACCAAGAGGGTACGGACTCTCCGATGCTACCTGAGTCTTAGCGAGAGTGCAACCTTAATGTGCCATTGTGTCGAGGGGCTACTGTTGTTGTGTGGTGTTGTCTTGGTGTGGTCTGATACCGCTGCTGCTGCTGCTGCTGTTGTTGTTGTTCTCCTTGCTACCCAAGCGTGACACGTTGGACTGATATTATTTATTACTTTTATATATATTTTTATATTTAGTGACCTGCTTACCATTTTACACTCCTTTGCTGACCCGCCCATACTGGACATCTGTGAAAAAGAGCTTCATAGCTCATCCGATTCCTCCTCCTGCACTCTACATCAAGATTCTGATGTCGAGTGATACCCCACCTACGAAGCGATTAAACTGTTTTGTATTTTACCAGCTGATGCCCACTCAGCTACACAAGTGCTCCTTTTCAGAAGCAACTTGACCATCACGAATGATAGCTCAACAGATGTCGAGCACAAGCAAACTCCAAATTATACAGCAGCAGCAGCAGCAGGCGTCGTCAGTGTCGGGATGTAACCCACGACCTCCTGCACACCAGGCGAGGTAGTTAACACAATTGAGATTGTGACGATGAGTGAGACACGTGGGGTGTTGAGCAGGGTAGGGTAACGAACAATCACCATCAGCCGTGATCACTCCACTGCTGGATGAAGACCTTCCCCATGCCGCCGTCACTGCCACTGACAGGCATCAAAAGCTTGTCTTCTTCACTCCGCCACCATCACCAAAGACAAAGATCCCCCGTAGAGCCCTTTAATTGACTGGTGGTGCTGCTAGCGAGCACCTATGCAGGCAGCTACCACAACCATCACCATCATTATTACCATTAGCACCTTTACCATCTCCACCACCATCACCACCACCATCACCACCATCACCACCACCATCACCACCATCACCACCATCACCACCACCACCATCACCACCATCACCACCACCATCACCACCACCATCACCACCACCATCACCACCACCACCACCATCACCACCACCATCACCACCACCACCACCACCACAACCACCACCATCACCACCACCATCACCACCACCACCATCACCACCACCATCACCACCACCACCATCACCACCACCACCATCACCACCACCACCACCATCACCACCATCACCACCACCATCACCACCACCATCACCACCACCACCATCACCACCACCATCACCACCATCACCATCACCACCGCACGGTGTGCCAAGCTGGCTGCTCTGCTCCGTTTGAAGCCGGGACAAGAAAGAGCCGCAATAAATGTCACCCACAGGGGTGCGGTGAGCTCCTGCGAGGCGAGAAGGCTGCCTGTCCTGTCTCACAACCAGTCTGTGTGTCTGCCTGTACACACACACACACACGCGTGTCTCCCTGTATACACACGTGTCTACGTGTCTGCCTATATAAACACTGTCTCACAGTCTGTCTGTCTGTCTCACACACTTTCTCCGTCGCTCCGTCTCCGCCGTGGACGTATCCTCGCGTGCGTCCCCTCCGTTGGCCGCCAACCATGACCTAATCTCTGCCGGTCCCCCATATACATGAAGATGTTATCGGCCAATTAATGAGTGTGCACATGGTGGGAAGGGGAAACACTCTATCCCGTACAGACGGGACAGCTGGAGTCCACACTTTGCTGTGCCGCCTTCTCCTGGCGAGACAGGGCACGGCTCCTCCTCGACGCCCACGGGTAGAAGGGAGTTTCGCACCATCTGCGTGTGATCCACCAACCCTCGCCCTTGCCTCCGCTGCCGGATCAGAACCGGCCGCGTGCAGCGGCGTGGCCGCAACCACCGCCGCCGCCACCACCCGGCTAAGCAACATCCCTTGCGCTCTGAAAAACGATGGAGCGGATACCGACCGTACACAACTATTCACGCCGCGTTGAGAAATATAAAATTTTTGGTGGTGGATCGAGGAACGCCGATGGACAATGCCGTGGCTCGTTGCCAGCCGCCCCACCGGAGTAACTCAATCCACCGGCTCGGACCCCCGTGGGCGCCGTCCGCACGAGACGGCGATGAAGTGGTCGGTGCCAGGGGCTGTTGTTGTTGGTGGTCGTACACGCACCGCACGCACCGCCCTGGCCACGAGATGATGAATAACCCGGCCCAGAGATCATCTGGAGCGCTGCCTAGGCTCTCTCTGCCCGAGTGGCGGGTGGAGAGAGAGTCCCGTGTTGACACAGACTCCGTGTAAACACTCGTGAGATGCTGCAGAAGCAGGGACGGAGATCCGGAGTGAGCGAGCGCGCGGGTAGTCAGCGATTGTGTGTGTGTGTAGGTGTGTGAATGGGGAGCGGTGGAGTAGCGGTCAGCGCGCTGCGCTACAAACCCGGCGATCCGAGTTCGATTACGGCACACGGCCAATACCGGTGACTAATGTCTGAACCGGTCCTGGGCCTCCCCTAGGTCGACTCAGTCTCAAATGAGTACCTGGTGCGGTGTGTAAACATCGCCACTGAGGAGCCGAGCGTGGTGCTGGCCACCCGCCCCCTCGTGTGCCGTGCCGGCCTTCATAGGTGCTCGCTAACATCACTTGCCCCAAAAGCTTGTAAAGGACATAGGGTTGATCTTTGCCCTTGGTTGTATAATTTGAACGGTGGCACAGTGGTTAGCGTGCGCTGTGCACGGTGGCCCGAATTCGATTTCCGCTCACGACAAACAGCTGTGACGATTATCTGAACCGGTCATAGGCCTCTCGCCCCAAGGTCGACTCGGCCTTAAATGAGTACCTGGTGCGGTGTGTAAAATAGACATCAGCACTGGGGAGACAAAGGCGTCCGGGCGTGGTGCTGGCCACCCACCCACACCCTCGGTGTGCCGCGCCGGCCTCCGTGGGTGCCGCTACTCGCCGACGGCACTTGCCCCAACACTCTGTTGGAGGCTATACGGGGGATCTTCTGTCTTTTTGCGGCTACGCGCGT